TAACCCACTATCAAGGATTGAACAAACTAATTTAACCCACTATCAAAGATTGAACTACTAATTTAGCCTACTGTCAAGGATGGAATGAATTAGTTTAACCTAATGTCAAGGAATTAATTAAATTCACTTCAAGAAATGAATGAATTAGATCACCCTGCTGTGACTACTGAGTGTAATACAGTAAAGAAAACTCTCCTTCTTGTATGTTGGGTTAGTTAGTTAATATCCTTTACAAGACATTGCAGAACCAACCCCAGTATTTTTGGGCTGTTGTGGTTTTTCTAGGCAAATTTACGTCCAGTAGTTTGCCATTGCTTTCTGGACAGTCGGCTTCTCTGTACCACTGTTGAAACCAACATAAGGTGCAAGGTCTGCAGCTGGAATCGAATCCAAGCATTACGATGTGCATTCACAACATCTAAGCCACAGCTGCTGACTATGTTGGGTACTGTCTTATCTAATCTTTTCTTCAGTACTGAGAACATTTTGCAGAGATTCCAAAAACAAGTAATATCATGCTCAAAGTAACTTTATTCGGTCAGATGATGATGATGATGACAATTATGATATAATCTCAACGTACTCATTGCTATAGAAAATATAACATGGTTGAGCCGACCACACTTGTTAAACCAAAAATAACAGCACAAGAAATAATGACATAATATCCTAACCTGACTACTGGACATTCAAGTCAGAAGCCAAAGCTGAATGTGTCCACAAAAGCAGTAGCCCTTAAAACATACATCCCCCGAGTGGATGGTGTTGGTGAGCTGAGCTCACTTGTTCCATATTATGCTTCTGGATAAGACAGAGGATGCTAGTAACCATGTATCACATGATATGCCTTTTCAACAACATGAGCTGTAGTGCAGATGACTATCCCCAACAAGACTTCACAGGAAGAGGAATTTAATCTCTGCTGAAAGCTACACACAGTATCTCTCTAAAAACAAATATTACCTCATTACTCAAAAGCAAAACACATCTTCTCTCTAATTTTACAAAGAATATGCATGTCCTTTTTAACAGGAGAAAGGACATATTTCCTTCTAAAAAATAAACTTCTTCTCTAATCGAGACAACACACATACCCTCAGTTAATAAATATACATTCCCTCTTAATTTAAAAGCACAGATTATGTCTCTGAACAAAAACATATTCTTTCTCTTTATTAAAAAAGCACACATTATCTCTTCACACACACACACAAAATGTCCTCTGTATTAAAGAGAAATAAACACACACATTACTTTTCTACATCAATATTAAAACACACACACACACATACTACCCCCCCCCCCCCTCCCCAACCTACTTTCTGTTCTCTCAATTTAAAAAAAAAATCCTATCTCAAAAAAAGAAAAAAAACCATTCCTTCTTTAAAACACACACTACCTCTCTACTAAAACCACACATTTCCCCTCTAATGAAAAAGCATGCTTACTCTAATTAAAACATGCACTTCTATTCAAAACCATCACACATTTTCAAATTAAAACACAACTCAGAATCACATATATTCATTCTAACCAAAACACTTTTTTCTCTTTAAAAAAAACACACAAGTACAAAATATAGCAATGCATTCAAAGTAACTGTATTCTTGCATTGAGAATTATGTATCTTGGATTATGTATCTGTCCACAGAAAACTAACATTCTGGAACAAAACCCAAGTTCTCAAGTGGACGAACAACCAGAATCTTCTGCCAGAGTTAACAGGCTGTGAACGCTGAGAAGGAGGAGATTAAAAAGAACTTTTCATTGTTCTTATTATTCAACATTTCTGCAATAAAAGTTCCATATTATCTGTCAATAACAACAACAAATCTGTTCTCTCGGTTTTCTGACAATAGTTCAAGAGTCGCACTGTAGAACAGATTGGGGCCTCAAAACTAAATGTTTGCAAATACCGCAACAGTATGTGTTGTAGCTGACCTTTACTGTGTCAATAGCATAGACATTTTTCAAATTATCTGTCCAAATACAAAGAAAACTTACCCTCTGAAAGGCAATATCAAAGTAAATGGGTCAAACCTCAAGCAAGTTGGTTTTATTAAGTACTTGGGTACCCTGATAACATCAGATGGAAGATGTATTAAAGAAGTTAAATGTAGAATATCTCAAGCAAAGGCAGCATTTTACAAAATAAAGAATATTTTGTGTAGTCTTTCTTTGTCAATTGAGACAAGAAAGACATTTCTTAAAGGCTATAAAAATCCTATCTTCATATATGAAAGTGAATCATGGGCAGTTGGCAGAATAATGAAAAATTATTTGGAAGTTGTGGAGATGTGGTTTTACAGACGAATGATGAGAATACCCTGGACACATAAAAAGAGTATTGAGAATGTCTTGAAAGAAACTGACTCATGAAGAAAAACTGATTGCCCACATCAGAAAGAGATAGTCTATATTTTTTGGTCATGTGACGAGAAGGAGAAAACTGGAGTACATCGTGACGGTAGGAAAACTGGAGGGAGGAGAGGCAAAGGGAGATTGAGGGAAAAGATGCTGGACAGTGTGACATCATGGCATGTAGGATCATCTGTGTCAGAGTTGACAGAAAGTACACGAGACAGAAGGTTGTGGATAGACATGACTACTAACACCACATAGCATTGAGTTTTAAAAAAAAGATACTCCGAAAAGTGGCAAAGGGTTATTGCTTGTTTCTTATAATGTTCCAGGATCCTCATCTGGAACTGATCTCCTGCAATCACGCTTTCTAATTTTTAATTGATCCATTCTCACAGCAAGCCAGCCAAAAGGTCTTGGGTTTGAATCCACTCTTAGGAGGATTTTTATAATTGGCCTCAGTGTAGTGATGTCAATCATCAAAAAGATAACATATAACTGACTGGTTATACAGTACATATTATGGCTTGACTCTGAGAAAGTTGAACACACTCCTTCATGGGCTACACCATCTTTAAAGTCAAGATTGATTCATCCCAACTCTATGCTACCAGATGCCAGACATGGTCATTCACAACCAAGCAATCATTAAGTTAGTAAGCATGGAAATGAGATGCCTGCAGAAGGGATGAGAAGAGACAAAATCAGGAAAGAGGTCATGAGAGAAAGGTTGGCACAGAACCAATTCTAAATTACAAAGACAGAAAATCAAATGGCTTGTCCACTTAGAGAAAAAGCCTTATGACACCATACTATACAAAGCATACAATAAAAAAAAAAAAAAGTTGAGGGATGCATAGCACAAGACAGACCAAGATGGAAAGATAACATCACAGAAACACTACAACAGCACAATGTGGCTATGGTCAGTCTGCCAGATGAACTGTATATCTTCCTTGACACCTGGCAGGGTAAAAGAGGAAGTGAAGAAGAAGAGGACACTTGTCTTTTCTTCTTTGCATTCACCGGCTGTGAATTCCATCATAAAGTCATGGTTGTTCATCTATTTGAATCGTGGCTTTTTAGCAGAACTTGAGTTTTGCATGTACATTGGCTTTACTGGCTTATCTGTGTGCGATTCTCGTTCCTTGCCTCTCAGACAGACGTACTCCTTCAAAGGAAGATGTCAATCTTATCTCTAGGATGACTGTTTCATGGAATATGATGTTACCTCATTTGTGTGGTGTCCAATTTGTCCCTTTATCTACAGATGTTGCCCCCAGAGAAACCCCTTAGGGCAACTATGTGTAAAAGTTAGCCCTGAAGGAAAGGCAGATACAGATCATGGGCATTCACCATCATCCAAGGGGGCTTCTGTATATGCAGAGCAGATATATGATGTTCTGGTCCTGGGCTCACCCAAGGAATCATCATGTCCTGCACATGACTGCTTAATCTTACATCCGTATGTTGAGTTTTCCACTCATCATGGGCTTTGCCCTCAGGAGATCAATAGGGAGCAGCCCGCAGGTCCAGGACTTCAATGGCTACACAAATCGGTTACATTTTTATTTGGCACATACACCTTTAACTGGTATGATAGGAATTGTAACTCTTCTTTGCTGCTGAAGATGGGGACGGAGCACTTATGGGGGTGTCCTGATTGCTGTGATGTCGATTCTTAATTCAACATTTAACCTTTAACTTTGTTTCATCCAGAAACTTAGCCAGACAGTACATCAAAAGCATGCATCCGGCATAGCTGTCCCTTTTAGATCCCACACTCTGGCAAGTGGGACCAAAGTTAACGGGGGAAAGACACTAGTATAATTAACTCCACATGGCAGCAATCAGTACAATGATTGTGAGATGGCTGTTTAAGGACTCACCCTGTATTCACTGACACTTTGGTCTTTCCAGACGACAGTGTTTTACTGCGCCATGAGAAGGCATGGGACTCACAGCCCATGGTGATGGCGAGTGTGACTAGCAAGACCCGCCTACGTTAAGGAAAGTCTTGCACAATTATAGCATGTGATTTCAGGACCATTGTTGTCAGCATTTGTGTTTAGTGTGTTTCTTCTCCGACGCTCAACTCTCATCCTTTCTGCTATCATTTCTTCCTTCATTCTCATTCCCTTCCTTACCCCTCTACACAACACAGTCCATAGCTTTTTGTTCCGAGTCCACCTCAATACCTGTCTCATTCATGTCCCGCTTGCACATATCTTTATATCATAGTAGAGGCTGGCCCGTTTAGGACTATCTAAAATAAAGTAATGTCAATCATAATAACACAAGTAAAAGGCCTTTGGCACATGGTTGGGCATACCATCTGTATACCTTTGGGCATACCATCTGTATACCTTTGGGCATACCATCTGTATTTTTACAGACCAATCGGGACTCCTTGGGTGATGATATGATTAACAGCATGACAACCATTTCTACTTCCCAAGACAGTACCTGTTCTCCACTTTAGGTCGGGCTGACATGAGAACTAATGTCAAATTTGAAGGAAACAAATTAAAAAAACCTTGGTGCAGATCTGAACCCTTGACCTTCAGGCGTTTAGCCTCTACGCTACCATGACTTCTCACAATAACATAACACATAACTGACTGCCTATACAATACATATTATGGTCGGACTCCATGATTCTGCAGCAAGTGAACATCTAGCCCAGACTGTTCAGTAAATCTCCGACGACACATTTTACAACTGTAAGGACGACCTCTTGTTCCAGACTGCATCAGCCGACGACTAATATCCTTAAAGTCCTGATGTTTGACTATTTTTTCCAAATTAGGGTCATCATCACCTTTCTTAGATATGGAGGTTTTCCTGCTTCTTTTCTCAGAAACCACACTCTTTGCGGATGAAGTCTGTTCTTTCTTATTATATGCTGTTGCTTCCTGTTTTTTCTCTTCATTCTGTTGGTGTTTGTTCAGACTTTGAGCTGGCAGTTTTCCTTTGAGTTCTTCACCAGCTTCTGCTCCAGTTATGTGGCTGTTGGCATGGGCTCTGAGATCGCTGATCTGAGTGAAATCTTTGTCACAGGTTTCACACTTGAACAGCCGCACATGACTACTGGCATGAATCTTCAGACCTCTAGTGGTGGCGAAGCTTCGGTCACACTCAGGACATGAAAACTGGCTCTTTCTTTCCTCTGAACTGTGCAAAATGTTTGTAACTGTGTTGACAGTTGGTGTCACCCATTTGTTGCTTGACAAATCCTTTAATGACCCTGCTAGTACCTGTGTATCACCTAACATATCCATCACTGGTACAGATTGCTCCTGTGTGTCCCCTGATATCTTCTTTAGCAGCATTAGATCAGAGTCATTCTTTCCAGCTGTGCTATCTACTGATTCCTCTACAACATCCTCATCAAAGATATTTGAAGATGTTTTAGAAGTCAGATTTTCAATTTTCATGCTGATGTCCTTCATGATTTTCTGAACTTTCTCTTGCTGTTTTCCTACTGTATTGCTTTTCTTTGAGCATTTCTGAGACTGACTAACTGCTAGACCTAAACAGGAACGCTGGTGTAACATTGTCACATGTTTGTCTCCAAATACCTGTCTGCAGTACTTGCACGGTGTTGCTTTGGAAAACGTGTTGATGTGCCTCATTAGTGCTTCATAGACCGTGAATCTTTTATCACATGGTTCACACGTATAGGTCACTGTCCCAGTGCCAATATCTTGTTCTTTGATAATCTTTGCCTCATAAGGCCGAGTTTCTTCCCCAGAAATGGCCAACACGGCAACTGGCAAATCATCAATGGCTTGGTCCAGCTGCCCATGCTGGTCAGTATTTCCTGACACCAGATCATCCCTCTGCTTTGAATCTGTTCCTTTCTTCCGGCTACATTTCTTCCTAAAGTGATCTGTAAGGAGGTATCGTCTGGAGAATCCTTTACTACAAATATGGCACTTGTATGGCTTGGTGTGGTTGAGGGAATGCTTTCTCACGGCATTGTCACTAATAAATGACTTGTCACACACCCTACACTTGAAGGGCCTGACATCCTTGTGTAGGCGGATGTGACACAACATCACACTTTTCTGATAGGATTTCATTGTCTTACCACAGATGTCACACTGAATCAGCTTCTCCGCCACTAGCTCTGTGACATCTTTCAGCGGGTCCTCCTGTTCATGCCTCTTTTTGAAGTGGTTCTTCATGATATACCTACGAATGAAGCTCTTATTACAAGCTGGACATTTATAAGGTTTTGTGTGGTTCTGCTGATGTTTCTTCAGCAAGTGCCGGGCGTAGAAGCTCTTGGGACACTCCTGGCACTTATATGGACGCTGGTTGAGGTGCATACGAACGTGAGTAATAATAAAACTTTTGAAACGAAATTCCTGCCCACAGATCAGACACTGGTATCCAACAGAATTCAGCAAGCACTGGAAGTGATCCTCCACATTCTGGGACAGGTTCTCCAGTTCAGAACTGTTTAGGTTCTCCACTGTCATACTTGTTTCATTAAAATTCTCAACAGATGATTTTCTTCTCTCCTGAAATGCATGGACTCTAAGGTGTCTTAATATATTTGCTTTGCTTCTGAGTATCTTCTGGCAAATGTTACACTGGCATCTGAGATCTGGCAGCACGGTAAACCTGCTGTCATTGGCTGTGAAAGGACACCCTTTTAGCAGATGGTTTTGGAGATATAAATATTTAGAGAAAGATGACTTGCACGTTCTACATTGAACAGGTTTTGTGTGAGTTTTATGATGATGAAGGAGATCTGCTTTGTCATAGAAAGATTTCAGGCATTGCTCACACTGAAAGGGTCTGGTGTTTGTGTGCTTGATGAGATGCCTGAACAGAGTTGGTCTGGTGAAGATTACAGTTTTACAATGTCCACAACGATATAGTGTTTTCTTTTTCTGTTCAGTCTCAAACTGACCTTCCAGCGTTGATGCATCAGACAAGATCTGACCAGGATGGTCACTTTCAGTCAAACTAAGACCTGATTTTGCATTGATCTCAAGCTCACTTTTGGTCAAATTAAGATTTGATTTTAAATCAATTTCCTGCTGATTTTCAGTCAAATTAAGGTGCAATCTAGCACTGACTTCATCTGGTTCTTCCTTAGCATCCAGAAGACCTTCTGCCATGGAAGAGTCGTCACTTTTTTCAGTTCTTTCTGGTGCTTGAAGAATCGGCAAGGTGTATTCTTGCACAAGCTGCCCCTCAGTGCTTCTGGTAACATTAACCTGTACTTCAAAGAATCCATTACCAAACTGAATGAACCTCTTCTTCCTGTGCTGCTTCATGTGTAGCAAGAGCTGTGTCCTTCGCAAGTAGATTCGGTGACACACTGGGCATCGATGCTGTCGTTTGTGGAGCAGTAAGTGTTTTCTGTGAGAGCTGACATCATTGAACTCTTTAAAGCACACATTACAATTATAAGGCCTGACTCCAGTGTGCACAATTTTATGTCGTTCTAGCACACGTGCATTCGCAAACACGTGAGAACAAATTGAACACACTACACCCTTTCTATTCTCTTTTCCCATCACAGAAGGCAATATTCTCCTTGATAAAACTGATCTAGTGTCAACGCTGTCAAACTCTGCACTCTCATTATCTGGAGCTAAGACTTCACTCAACGACTGTGCAGCATCACACAGATCTGCAGCAGCAACTGTGACACTGTGTTCTCTCTTGAACAATGCTTGCTGAACAATGGAATCCAGTTCAGACAGATTTGGAATCCTCTCCTTGAACAATCCGGCTTGCCTCAACAACCATATTGTTGCTAAGGTTGGTTTTTGTAATCTCTTGATGCAGTTGTCGGTTCTTCAGTAAAGAAACTTTTCTGCCATCGTTCCTGACATCTGTGTTGCCGAGATCAAGGATTAAAATAGGATTTTCCTTTTGGGAGTGGCTTTGTCAGACCAGGGGGTTTAATTTGCAGTGGCCGAGGTAAATTCAAAAAGCCTGCTTGCTCTAGCACTTTAAGTGGGGTGAGTTCAGTGTAATCAAGGGACATGTCTTGTAGCTCAAACTTCTGCAGAGAAACAAAAGATAAATGAAATATCGGTTGAAAACATACAAACGTAAACTAAGTAGAAGTTAAGAGATGAACAGGCAGGTTTACGGCCAAACAGATCCTGTACTGACCAGATAGCCACATTACGTATAATAAATAGAGCTAAGTAGCAACTATTATTAATTTATTTTTATCAGACAACTCTCCTATTCTCTTCATCTTTATTTATCTATAATTGTGCTATCAGATCTATGAATGGGTGATCAGAAGGGAGGTAGGTAGACAGAGACACACAGAAAGAATGATGTACAAACAAACTTTGTTTTCAAAGGTTTAGAAACTGGGCATGCAGGTCCATCTAACATTCTGCTTTTTAAGTTCACTCCTTGCATACAGTTATTCATTTGTACATCATTTTATAGTTCACAATAATGAAACAGTGCTCTAATCATACTTACAATTCTGAACTATTTAAAAAGTATAATAATTAACCAAATCCAAAAATGGTTTGTCTAATAGCTTGCATAATATAAACATTAACAACAACAATTAAATAATAGTTACAAACGCTGAAATGTGTTTGATTGGCACCTTCATTTTTTTTAAAACAATGATAACTTTCAGTTAAAAAAAAAAAAAAAGACAGTCAGTGAAAAAAACATCTTAACATACTATAATCTTTTAGTGAGTGGGGAGGGGGCATATAGTCTGTAGTGGGATAATATTGAAATAGTTTGCAATTGTATGTATAGGGATTAGTTAACCCCCCCCCGGAAGACGATTCCACAGCTGACCTGCAGGGTACACTAAGCTTGTTTTGTATGGGTCTATTCTAGAGATCTATTAGGTCTATTTTAGAGATATACAATATGTTAAGGCATTTATTGTGCCCTTCACTATATTTAAATGGCCAAAGGTAACACTGAGAATTTTCGGATATGATTGTGTGAATAAATTTAGCTTTATTAAAAAGCCGGCATTCCTGAAGTAGTAATATCATACATTCTTTATATGGGTGCAAACAGTCACTTCCATGATTACTGGATAGAAAGATAGGTAGGTAGACAAACTGATAAATAGACGAATGAACGGATGGATGTATGAATAAACAGATGGAGAGATAGACAAACAAGTAAGCATGTGAGCAAGTCAACATACAACATCTTCCATGTTCTGTCCTGTCTCCAACTAACCTGCTGATCATTTATTTTCAAGATATCCATAGTTATTGTGGTGCTGTTTGGCTGATGCTCCACTAGACTGGTGGCACATACAATCTGATGGCACGGAGCTGTTGCCTTCAGTACAGCAATATGCTCTGCTAAATGATCCTGCACAGAATAGTAAATAGTCAAAATGGGGAAACAAAAAGCAAAGAATGAATCATAATTCAGAGCAAGAAAGGGGGTTACTGCCAAATGAAGGAATTTACAACTCATCGCTTTTTACACAAATATACTGCCAAATGAAGCTACATACAATAACATATGTCGACTCCAACAACAGAACGATGTAAGAACAGTATGATAATGTTGACAAAAACAGATTTTTATTTTAAAAAATTTGTGACATAGGGGTTTTGTATGGGGTTTTATCATTCTGACATATCAGGTTTATCCAGCTGCAGGCAGTTTGGCAGCAGATCACTTTGATTTCAATCATGGGATTTTCTTCTTCTTCTTTGCGTTCACTGGCTGAAGGTTCTGGTTGTTTATCCACTCCTGGGCTTTGGTTTTGATCCAGAACTTGAGTTTTGCATGCATACCTGCTCTGCAAATCTGATTTATTTGTATACAGACTGTTAGTTCCTTGCCTCTTTGGCAGACATTTTCTTACTTTGAAGGAAAAACCCCTAATTAGTCGCCTCCTACAACATGCATGTTGTTGGGGGTGAATGGCAAACTACTGAATGTAAAATGCCTTGTAAAGTGTCAAACAACTGGGCTTGGTTTGTGATATCCTGTAAAGCAATGGTTCCCAGTCATTTTACAGATGAATACTTAAGACCTGCCAACCCTCTAATTTTCAAAGATCTGCTAAACATTTTAACTTTTCCGTCCCATGCATGTTTTTTTTTCAACTCATTATACATGTTCTTAATTAAGTTAAGAAATGTTTAGGCTCGAAGAAATTAAAATTACAACACCATTATGCAGAAGGAGTAAGATAATAACTGACCAATTCAATTGTCTTCTGGTATTTATAGAGATAAGAATTATCTTTCTCACCCATACCGATAAAGAAACACTGCATGGAAAAGTTTCATCCTCTGAAATGCTGCTTTTAGAATAGGACACCAGCAGAATAAAATATAAGCATAAAATAACAAGATTTGGTTAACTTTAGTAACTTTTTGTTTTTTACTGGTGTTACCTTTCCTTTTGAGTTAACAAAGAAGGCCATGTTCTTCATACTGCACAGACAACACATGGTCTCTACAATACTGTCTGAGCTGAGTGAGTTGAGTTGATTCAATAACCAACATTACAGCACTCATGGCATTCCCATAAGTGTTCCATCCCCATCTTCAGCAGCCAGCGCAGAGTTCCAATACCAATGGTGCCAGCAGTCTATCTTGCCTTTCCTCTGAGCCTTGAGTATTGGCCAGAACCACTTCGTCACTTCCTGCTTTTTCACTCTCACCAGACTGCAGTGACCCATTTGCTCTTCCAAATTGTACACGTTCTCTCACAAAGTCCTAACCGTGTCTGCCTTATCATGCATCAATATTCCATCAAGTTGTGCAAAGCCAGCTAGTCTGTCCGCCCGTTCATTTCCCAACATCCTGGCATTTCCCGCATAAAATATTCAGGCAATGCTTCTCATCCATGACCTCCAAAGCAAAGCATGCCAGTCTGCATGAAGCATACCTGTCCTCACCTTCCTCAGCATGCTTTAGACAATACTGTTTAGGTTTTGTGTTATTAGGTGGAAGAGCTTCAGCCCTGACCTTAACTGGTCGCCATGAGCTGTCCCATGTTCTTCTATAGCACAATGGAACACTATTAAGTAGAAAGAAGGAAAGGTGCCAACAAGGTGACTTACGAGGTATAAACTGCGCAGACAGAACTCTTCACCACAGTCCCCGCATCTGTAAGGATTCACTAGATGAATAATAATCTCATTCAGACCAGCTTCTGTCTGTGCCATTGTAAGAAGGGTTGTAAATCTAAGAAGAAATTCAAATACAAAATGTTTTTTTAAAAATATAATAACTTAGCTGAGAGGGATGTGAGTCTTTAACTATCTTGCAGACATTAAGAAAGAAAATAGACCTGGTCTCGCTGCTTTGGTTCCGGGGAGGGGGGGGAGGGGGAAGGCTCATTCCCCTATAACAAGTATGTCGTAAAAGGCAGCTTATAAGGGATATTTTAGTCAAAGTTGGAGTGCATCTGCCTATGGGAGGCAAGCAAACAAGTCTGCATACAAATCAGCTAGATCTGTACAATGGATGTGTGCGCAAAACCTAACTTCTGGAACAAGACTGAAGTCAAGAAGTGAAAAAGCAACCAGAAATGTCCACTGGAGTCAAGAGCCGGTGAACATGAAACTGAAATGCTACAGAATGAATATTAAATGTTGAATTAAGAATCAACATCATAGAACTCGGGACACACCCATAAGCAGTCTGTCCTCATCTTCAGCAGAAAACGAATAGTTCCAGTTCCGATGGCACGGGTAACTGTCTGATTGTATTTCCATCTCACCCTTCCCTTGAGTGTCAGACAGATCCCCTGGTAACTCCTTGCAGCACCATTCTCCTCAGACTGTAATGATCTATTTGCGCTTCTGCACTTTTCTCGCCTCCAGAGGGCCCTCACAATGTTTAAATTGTCATACATCAATTCACCACCAAGTGGTGTTACAGAAAGATTCTCAGAATTCCATGGAGCAAGTAGAAAAGAAATACTGACATTCTTAAAGATCTGAACATCAAGGATGAATAGCTACTAAACACCATTTTGTCTCGGAAACAAATATTCTGGCAATACCAAGCGCCATAGCAGATTGAAAAAAAAAATAATAGTAGATAGCAAAGTACCAGAAAAGTCGGTAGAGGCTGACCATAATAAAGATGGGCACAGAATAAAAGTGACACCATGTGTAAGAAAGTGCAAGAGATGGAAGAGCTAACGAGACTGAGTTTCCTTCAGACAGACTATGGTGAGAATGTATTCTGCAAAGGACCTGCTACATGAAGATACCAGGAAGTCAGTTGCCAGCTTGTATATGATAGATACCAGGAAGTCAGCTGCCAGTCTTTTACTGGATATTACAAACCAACTCTGACTTTTGTTGGCTGTGTTGTGGTTTTGTTGTGATTTTACAAGTCAATGTTATGTCCAGTAGTCTGCTACTGCTTTAATGGTTGAAGCACATACCCTTGTTGGAATCAATGCACATTTGTTGGCTGTCAATTTACTTGCAGCTGAACTGATTCAAGTATACTGAAATTATGAAACTGTTAAGCCACAGAACCTATCAGGAAGATCTAGACTAAAATGTGTACCAGCAAATGTCCACAGCCCTGTAACTACATCTTCTTCTTGGTGTTCGCTGATTGTGAACTCCTATGAAAAATACTGGTTGTTCATCTACTTTAGTCTTGTTCCAGAACTTGAGCAAACCCATTTTACAGATCTGGCTTATTTTTTGTATGCAGACTGTTGGTTCCTCACCTCTTAGGCAGATGCATTCTAACTCTAAAAGACACACCCCTAGTTAGCTGACTATTACGATATGCCTGTTGAGAGGGGCAGTGGGCCATTCTTTTTTTGTCCCCATAATGAGACCCCAGAACCCACAAATGATAATATGACTCACTGGTCTATAAATATGTAGATCTCTACATGCAAAAAGGTCCAGTGTCATGGAAAGGGTACAGTGTAGCTGGAATTATTTATTCTTTTTTCTCTCTTCCACCATTTACTTCAGTGAGGTGTTGGAGGGAGATGTCAGGATCGTTTGTGCGCTTTTTACAATGCATTGTACAAGCTAGTGCTCATTTCTGTTAGGCTGGTACTAATAATGTTACTCCATGTTTTACGTGGTCTCCCTCTTGCTCTCTGTGGCAGTTAGTATCAGGGCATTCTCGTCAGGTGGCCAAACCATCTGATTTGTTGTTCTTTAATAAACTGTATGACTGGTTTCAGTCTTAGTCTTCTTCTTATTTCTTAATTCCTGATTTTATCTCTTCCTGTCACACTGGCAGCTCTCCTAAGACATCTCATATCTGTTTTTATGACCATCCACTCATAAGTTGTAGTAAGGGTCCATGTTTGGCACTGGTAGCACAATGTCAGCCAAAAAACCTTTCTCATGAGATTTGCTTTGGTTGACAGAGGTATCTTTCTCTGTGTATACCAGAGTATAACCAATACAAAATCTTTGTGTAAAATTTACATCCCTTCTCCCTTAACTCTGCCATACCTAAAATCTTCCCTAGGTATTTTTCCATCAGTTGTATAGTCTCCTCTGCTTTGTTGCACCAGCTACATATATATTTAACGTTCCTACTCTATACTGGTCTTGTTTGTTGAACTTAGTTCACACACTATCACATTTCCTAAATTTTTCTTGGGCATCACCGCGTGTGTAGTTAAATCTTCCACCAGAATTATTTATAAAACCTCAAAATTAGCACCCACAAATTTACACATTGCTTTAAAATTACATAGTAGAGAAGAAATACAACCTAGAATAATAGATGAAAATAATGTATGTACACATATATATACATATATCATACCCTGACCAGCCGCCATAGTGTAGTGGCCAGAGCTCGCTTGCGGATCGAACGGTCGTGGATTCAGGTCATGACATTTTTAAAAATGACCTTGGCTCTTAGGTGACCAAGCCTTAAGTGAGTACCGGGAACAGTCCTGGGAAGTAAAGGTGGCCAGAATGATTTTGACGACATCACCCATCGAGTGCCGACTGGTCTATAAAAATTAAGGTCTAGCCCTATATGCCCATCATTATGTCTGAAGGTGTGGAAAAGGGTCCTTAACTTACTTATTATGCCCTACAATATAACATCTGCTTGAAACAACTGCTCTATCTTGTAACACCAAGATCACAAAATATAAAGCATCACTCCATTATTCACTGAGGTAGAGAACAGATATACAACAATTATTTGTGTACATTGACATTATGGTTTCTGCAGCTTTAGAGGATACAACATTTTTGGACTACAGAAATTTGGGTGCTAATGACATTTTTTAATGTTATTTTCTTTTTTGGTTTACCATTTACAACTAACAACAATGTAAATTTCTTATATATCAACTGTTGTAATCAAGTTACATTTACCTTCAACTAAACATACAAGTGGCGATGTATCTTGTATCTATACATTACCCAAGACTTTCATAAACAAAGGTAAAAGAACATTATTTATTGACAATCTCCAAAACTAACTCGTTTTTGGTACAAGGAAATTCACATCCCACAATTCCGAAATTTTAAAAAAAAAAACTTGTCTTGTGTCTACGAAACATAACTTCTCGCTTGATAATTGTACATTGATTAATCAATAACTTATAAAAAATCTACATAAAAAATGTTTAAACATCAAAATATATGTGCTTTTAAAGACCAATCAATTTTATGTTATATTAAATTTCTTTAGAGAAGGTAACCGTTTCTTGAGGTTGTGGTTTTACTTTGTTCTTTAAGGGGAGACGACTGTCGTTTCATAAACATGGCGTCTTTTCATCGTCAAATATGGAAGGACCTTGGTTTCATTCTGAAGGCTAAACATATATGGATAAGTATGGACACAACAAAATACATTTTAAAATTATTTTTGAATGATAAAAAAGAACACAACTTTACAATAATTATAATATTAATGTTACGAGTCGCAGGAAATATTGTATTTAGTATCACCTCCTCCCCCCCTCCCCCCCTGATAATATGTCATGATTATCATTATTTTCCCTTGTTCTCTCTCTTGTGTTTATTTTATTGTTGTTTTTGCAGCGTGGCAGTTGCTACCAGGATTTTCACATCAGATGCTCAAACTTAGTCCATATTTGAACAGAGCAGTAAACTTTCTATTATTATTCTATCTAGCAATTTCACTAATAGTAAAAGCTATGTACGTGATCTCTGTTATGATTTCATGCTCACTCAATGTTTACAGTCAGTAATAGTGTTTTTTTCTGTCTGGAGCAAAAAAACATCCTAACCTGCATAGTCTGTGGCCACAGCACTGGTCGTGCAGCTCTAAATCCTCAGGCTCACCAGCCCTTCCCCCTTTACACCGCCCTAAAACGTGGTAAAATAGGCAATAGTAGATTTAAAGTGAGGGCCTATGTTTGACCACTGGTGTACATTAGGCATATGATGCTAGTAGATCAGTTGGCCACTAGATGGATAGTATTGTCAGCATCAAGCCAGCCACCTTTACCTCATCTTGATGCTGATTTCAGCCCACAATCTTCAGGCCGGCAGAAGGAGTATAACAGTTAAACCACAGACAGCTCCTAGTTGTCACATTACCTTGTCCACGCTCATAGTATCAATTTTAATCCTTTAAACCTAAGTGTTCAATAATTAAAGTAACAACTTAAGATTGAATGAGGCTAAAGTAACACCTGCCTGGGACTGAAAGAGTTACAAATCGCATAGTTTATTAGGAGGGGAGCAACAGTAGCATAGCTATATGCTCACCTGATGGCCCAAAGGTCTAGAGTTCAAATCCACACTAGTGTTTCTTTTTCTTTCAAAATTGACTTTGGCCCCCTGGTTGACCCAGCTTAAATTGGTACCAGGTGTTGTAGGAAGGCAGTCGCTGTGATGCTAACTACCACATACATCAAGTAATCCACACACACACACACAAAAGTGTAGCACTCGATACCCCATGCGTCAGAGGCATAAACAAGGTCATTTACTTTACTTTTTCACTTTGTAGATTGAGTTTAAGCATTGTTTAAAACCAGCACACTAATTGATTGAGCTAACCTGCTTAACATTTCAGAAAGACCTATATCGAGACGAGTATCAACAGCAGTTTTTTGCTGTCAGAAAAATTCCCTGTATAGTGCAGTGTGTGTACAGAGACTACCAATCATTACACAGCCCTTGAATGACATCGAGAACAGATATGCAGACCTGCTTGCCAAGATTGAGCTAGAAAACAGCTATCTTTCTGATTTCGAAATTCGGCTGATAAGTGAGGCGTAAGTCTTTTCATATGTACAAATTCTGTTTAAACCTAAACTTTATAGAATTGAAAACAGATCATTAATGCTATAAGTGGGTCTGATGGATATATTTTATTCTGATTTTCCAAACTTGTCTGAGTGGGTAGCTGATAAAACAGATTCAACATTGTATAAGCTGTTCAGTGCAAAGTCACACCCAGATGATATCATTAAATATACAGAAAGGTCTACAGTGAGAACTAAGAAGTGTTGGTGGGGTATTATTGCAAAGATAAATGGACACTGTTTGAAAAAAAAGAGCCTCGCTTGCAAGGTCACTGCATCCATTATGAGAATGGAGATGAAGGCAGTAACAGCAGCTTTTCCATGGCTGGAGAGCAGCACAGTCTGACATGTAATTGTAAAGGACTCACAGAGCTTGCTTCGGAATTTTGAAATTGCGATCCTGTGAGCAGAGTGGCTTGTGTCACTAGATAAGACTGAGATCAGGAGCATATCATAGATATTCTGCCCAGGAAATTTAGGTGTGCCAGGTACTGAGCAGACTGATAGATTAGCTGCTGCTCCTCCTTTTGGGCATTGAGCTACTGTATAATAAAGTGGACATGTTGAAGTTTCTTTAGGATGAAATGGACAGTGCACAAGAACATACAGAGAGAATACATAAGTTAAAAGACTATAATGCATTGGGGCTGAGTAGAGGTTCTGCAAGATAAGCACCGACAGAGAAACATATGAGGACTTTTAATCAGTTTGAAGCTTGTACCATTAGCATGTCAGCTCTTTATTGGTTGCTGGAGAAGGTTAGGGAGCATGTGTGGAAATGTCTTGAGTGCATCAATATCACTTCTTTATTCATTTGTTCATTCATATCTCAGTGGGTATGACAGGTATGTACGTCTGAAATTCTGTGGTCTGTGTATCTTGTTTATGGTAAGTGACACACTTGCACATTTATGTTAGAGTTTTCTCCACTTAGCAGAGGTATTTTTCAATAACTTATTGAAATTTTAAAAATGTCGCTTCCATATGGATTTAAACTCTAGACCTTTGAGTCGCCTAGCCACTATGCTACTACAATGTCCATCCCATAGAACACAGGTCAGAAATCAGATCATTCCAAGCCCTTTGCATGATTGGTTGATTTTATAGCTTCAGGGGATTGAGTAGGGAAGCATACAGTATGACTGTTTTTTCCCGGTCCCAACACTGGATGTGGTGGTTGTGCTTTTTCTCCTGTGCCTAATTGCGATACATCTTTGCAGTATCACTGAAATCCCCATGTTATGTTATCACAGTTGATGTCACTGCACATTTGGCATTCCTTGGTCCTCCGATGCACAAGCCACTCCAAGGTACCTCTCCTGATTGTTCCCAGATCTGTTATGAATGACTCCTATCTTGACCTGGAAGGCAGCATAGACATGTCATGCAATCACATTAGTGTCAGAGATTCTTCATTATCCACTAACCTAGTCCATACAGCATTGCTATCTGCTCTGTCCATGCTCATTCATTACCTTTTCTATAGTAAGTTGGTACAACCTTGGCAGTTAATGTTCTCCAGGGGCAGCAGTTTGTATGTTTCATTCATGTAATAAGACTTCCCAAACAGCATATAATAACAGCTTTGGCATTAAGGTAGAGGAGAATTTCAACCCAGATACTATTTCGGCAAGTGTACTATTGGCCACACTTAACTCTTTGAGTTCAATAGATTTAGCATCACATGCCCAAGGGGTAGTAAAGAGAGGCATAAATTCATCACATCATTAGTTAATTAGACTTCTAGGTAGAAACCTAGGAACGTATGATGCGTTCCTTGGGACACAAAGAGTTAAAGACTTCATGTTATGTGCCTAACACAATTCAAGACCAGCAGTGATCTAATATATATTTCTACTTCCTTCCCTCACCAAGCCATATTGACAGAAAGGACACCGAAGATGAGAAGACAGGAGATACAGAAACTGCACTTGATCTGCAAGATAAATGGGATGTTGAGATGAAAGCATTTGTGCCAGCACCCAGGGAGACTGAAGCAGATAGAACAAATAATCAGCGAACAGTTGACAGAAAGCTGGACTCGCCTCTTTACCTGCTTGTGAAGCAGAAAATTGAGGGGAATGATCATTGGGTTTTACCGCAGGCGGTCTTTCAGCAAGGGGAGACTTTAAGACAGGTGATAACATTTAAGCATGTTTCTTTGTCATGTGTGCTTCTTCTTTTGCTTCTGCCTGAAGGATTGGTTAAGGTTTGTTCACAGCTGGTTTAGTAGTTTGTACATGAAAAATGGTTACAGGTATATACACAATGATCATCGTGTAGCAGGTCCTTTGCAGAACGTCGCTCTCATCACAGTCTGCCTGAAAGAAACTTGGTCTCTCGCCAGCTCTCCCACCTCATGCACTTTCATACTTAAGGAGTCACTTATATCCTGTGCCCATCTTCGTGTTGGTCGGCCCCTGCCCCTCCTTCCTTTACAATAGTATATTATTTTTATCTTTACTACCCAACTTCCCCATATGGGTTCCAGGACACCTTTGTGGGAGGAAAGGGGAGGGGGGCAAGAATAGATCCACTGCTTATCCAAAAGCATGTCATAAGAGTTGACTAATTGGAAGCTTTTTTCAAAATCAGAGTGTATCTGCCTGAGAGGTATGGAACCAGCAGTCTCAGGCTTCAGATCTGTGAAAATGGATGTGCATGCAGCACTCAGGTTCTGGAACAGGACTAAAGTCCAGAAGTGGACGAACAACCACAACTTTCTGCCTGACAGAGTTTTCACTAATACGTATGAAGCACAAAATATGAATCCTTTTACCTGAAAAAAAACAGTGAACAGGATCCCCCAGGGAGTTCTGTGGCCCCATTATGGAGAAAACAAGAATACACCCACTGCCTTGCCAACCAGCATTTCGTAAGAGTTGACTGATTGGGGGCTTATTTCGAGGTCGGAGTACGTCTGCCTGAGAGGCAAGGAACCAGCAGGCTGCATATAATTAAGTCAGATCTGTAAAACTGATGTACACACAAAACTGATGTTTTAAAACAAAACTTAAGTCCAGAGGTGGACAAACAGCCAAAACTTTTCACCTGAGTTTACAACGGGTGATCGCGAAGAAGTTGTTAACAGGAAAATATCTCAAAAAGTAAATACACCCTTTATGATTTTGATCACATCACCCCTCATTTGCTGATCAGGATATAGTAATAGGTGTCTAGCTCAAATGCCTGGCATGAAATAGGCCCTTTACTTTAGTTCATACTATTATTATCATCATCATCATCATCATCATCATGTTGTGTTACATAGAGCTCGCAGTCTAGTCCTCATTCAGTTCTGTACTGTGAATTCCTTTTGATTCAGCTGTTTTTAGATAACATTTGTTTTTTTTTGCTCTCCTGTCAACTACGGCCGGTAGACAAAAGTAAACGGCTGGTTAGTCAGAGTTCTGTCCCTTGGCTACTGTGCAATTACGGAGTGGAAAAGGAGGGAACGAAACAGTTGACACAATTACTGTGTGTTTGCGATAGACAGCGTGCACTGCCCTGCTATAATCATACGGTGTGGGTTAGGGTTAGAGTTAGGGTGTGGGTTAGCGTTGCGGTTAGTGTCGCCGCATCTCGTCTTCGCAGAAACTCAACGTAGCAGCCCAAACCCTAACCGTATGATGACAGTAGGGCACTGCACGCTGTCTATCGGCAACACACAGTAATTATGTCACTTGTTTCCTTCCCTCTAATCCACTCCGTATGGGTCACAAGAAGCGGTAATTGAGAGCGGTCGCTAACTTGAGTCGCAGCGCGGGTTCTGCTAGGCATTTCGGCCTCACTTTGTGCCTTCTCCAGTCCGTAATTGCACTGCAGCCAGGGGACAGAACCCCGACTAACCGGCCGTCAACTGTTGTCTACCAGCCGTAGTTTACAGGAGAGCCGTTTTTTTTTAAATTATAGAATAAATTTTTTTTTAAATGATATTTATTTAAAAAAAATAATATTTGTCAGATTTAGAAGAAAAAAACTTTGAAACATGCGATTCAAAAATTAAAACACATGTGCCACATTGTACTCACAGGTGTTTTTCTAGAAAAAAAAAGCCATGAGATGTTTTAGTATTGAATATGTCATTGTTTGTGTCTGTACAGACAGCAGGAGAGGGCACTGTCCACACTGTGTGGGGAGGTAAAGACAACTTTCTTGGGGAATGCCCCCTGTGCTGTAGCCAAGTTTGATCCCAAAGAAAAGGTTGATGACAGCAAAATTAAGGTATATTATGCCTTTATGCCTTCATAAATTTTATTTATTCTGATTTCTTGGTAGAAAGCTAGTTAACCTTTCAGTTGAGGATAGGAAGATAATTCACAAAAGCTATATAAATCCTATCTTAATATGTGGTTTCTTTCATGCAGACCGTGATGAGAGCGACATTCTGCAAAGGGCCTGCTACATGATGGATGGATGATCTTGGTGACATACCAATAAAATTGTGGCACACTCTAATTAAAAAAAAAAAAAATGAAAAGTCCAAGACTAGGGAACCTCCAGTGTGCTCTGGAACTTTCTATCAGTACTCTGTCTCTTCTGAGTTACAGAGTATCGGCTCAGGGTACATACTCCAGAAAAAATTATGTGGATTTCAATGTGTATCTACCCAACTACTTTACACATATATGGGAGCAGTGATTAACAGATTCACTGGTTATGTAATTGAATCTCCCCAGAGGCATTTTTTCTTCTCCATCTTTTGCATTTGCTTTTAAAAGGGTGGTTGGCATTTTTTAAAATCAAATCTACAGCTAGATTGCGATATCTGTCAATCGAGGCCAGCAAAGTCTTAGTCACCTTTTGCATGATTATTAAGCCAGTTGGTCGACGATCCCCCCCCCCCCCCCCCACAACCAAAATGAGGCCCCTAAACCCGCATGGTATTTTTTTTTTATTCACTAAGTAAAAAGAAATAGTTTAGAACATAAAAAAAAATCCTGCATTCTATTCTGTCCTATGCAATCTTTTCCCCCCAAAAAATAGCAGCTGTGTCTTTTCTTAACATTTGTTTTAGTGATTCTCTCGGATATCCTTATTTCCTCAATCCATTTGTTTCTCATGCCAGTGCCTATTTAGTTAGTTCTCTGCTTCACATTCACTACTGGCTGTAAACTACGGTGGAAAGTTCTGGCTGCTTGTCCACTTCTGGACTTGAAGTCTTCTTTCAAAACTTTACTTTTGCTGACCCAAATGTTTCACAGATCTAGCTTATTCATTTGCAGGCTGTTGGTTCTTTGCCTATTAGGCAGATGCACCCTTGACTTCTGAGGACACACTTCTAGTTAGATGCATTTTTATGACCTGCTGATTGGGAAGCAGTGAGTGTCGTCCCCCTCCCCCCATCCCACTTCTTCCCATCGGAGCTTGTTTAGTGATTATTAATTGTGTACAGTTTAGTGTATTTTAAATGCCATTGTGAATTCTGAGACCCTATTTTGAAGGGGGCAAATTATACTCACTGCTCTTAATCTGAAATTCGGCTGATGGGCATATATTGCAGCCTGTTTAAACTGCAGCACACTTACCAACCACTCTTTTCCATGAAAATACAGAAGGGGAAATATATTTTAATTCTTATTTTGTCAGCTGTTTTCTATTTGGGGTTGAGCTATTACTTTAAAATAAATGTATGCTAAAATATTCTGTTTTTAAATTTTCTATTTTCCTAGCTGTTTTTCTTCCAAGCCTGGTACAGAGGAGGAGAGATCACACCCAACAAGACAGAAGCCAAAGACTTCTTATGGGTCACCCGGAAAGAGCTGTCCAATTTTTGCCACGCCAGCTACCGGAAACATTTAAAGAAATTTATATTTGATTTGTGATCTTTCTGTGATATGTTGTGACGAGTTTGTTCTAATGAACATTTTAGTGATGAGGATGAATGCAAGTATGTTTTAAAGTGGGTATAGTGTACTTGATTTTAGTGTGAAACTTAGAATAGCTTTCATGTCTGAAGAAAGTTGTGTTTATTTTAAGGTACTTTTTAACAGTCAATAAAATTGTTAAGTTCTTGAAAATTGTGTGCGTTTTTTTAAACGATTCTATGCATGAAGCAGTCACTGTTTATTTGTACTAAGCTTGGCTGTGATATCTGCCCCTTTCAGGCCAACATGATCAGTTTCAACAAAGAGTTAGTTAGCAATGCTTCCTCGTTGTAAATTTGAACAAAGAAGACACAAACATTAGATTGCAGAGTTTATTGCCTGGCAGTTCGTTACCTGCGCCCTGAACAAAAAGATACGATTCATACACTGGGCTGCCCTGGTAAAACAGGCAGTTGCATTTGAATTTCTACTTCAGTTATAAAGGATTAACTTATTTTCCTTATGTAAGTAATTGTTGCTGTAGTGTGCACCAGATGAGATGCAGCAAAATATGCCAGGCAATTATGCAATCTTTTGTTTGTGTCATCTTTGTTGCCTTTTAAGTCTTTTAGCCCCCTTAAGTTTAGTCAGGTGAACCCAACAAACAAGTCACCCACAATGTGCCATGGATGAAGTATACCCATGTTTTTGTTGTCATCATTATTGCTTCTCTCAGGCATCAGTTATGAAATTCTAGGACCTTAACAATTAAGGTACCAGTAAGTATATTCTTTTTTTTTTCCACTCAAAATGGGATCCCCGAAAGCCAAATGAGGAATATCTTTTTATTGATGACCAGTAATTCTTTTTTTTTTTTTTCAGTTGCTGTATCACATAATAAAAACATACTTGTACATACCCTTAGTGGCACTGTGACTGGGCCCTTGCCTGTCTGAAGATAAGTAATAAAAAAAAGTAAAGGACCCTTTTCCACGCCTTTAGGCGTATAGGGCTAGACCTAAATTTTTATAGACCAATCGGCACAAGATGGGTGATGTGGTCAGCATCACACCGGCCGCCTCTACTTCCCGGGACTGCACCCGGTACCCACTCAAGTTTGGGTCGACCTAGGAGCCAAGGTCATTTTTTTTAAAAAAAAGTCCGGCTCCTCCAGGAAGCGAACCCACGACCTTTTGATCCACGACGAGCGTCTAGCCGCTCCGCCACGGGGAATCCCCTGTCTGAAGATACTGTGTTTAAATTCGCATCAGGGAGTTTATTTTATGGTTCTTTTTTGTTTTCATATGCTGTAAACTCTTGGCAGAAATTTTTAGTTGTTCTTTCACCTCTGGACTTTAGACTTGTTCCAGAACTGGACTGTTGCCTGCACATCCATTTTACAGAGCTGACTTATTTGTATGCAAACTGTTGGTTCCTTGCCTGTCAGTCAGATGCACTCTTAATTTTATTGACTCTGTGTGCAGCGTTTAGGATTTCAGGATAAGGTTATAACTACTATAAAAAAAAACACATTTAGGGGAATTTCCTTTGTGAATCAGATATTTTCTAAGCCATGCTGACATCGTAATTTTCCTGTAGCGTCAGTGTTAGAGGTCACTTTCTAGTTCCATGATATCACAGCGGTACATCCTAGTAATAAAATTAAACACAAGACTGTTGTCAAATGAATGCTCATTCAAGTTTTTAATATACAACAGACAAAGAATATATTTAATATTTCCTAACAACTGTGTCTGTCTGGAGGAGACTAGTCATAAATGTACACAGTAAAGTCAATAGTCACACAGAAATATACAGTAAGCAACAAGGGAAAGAATAACAACCCTGAAGTGTATGAAAATCTGTTCAGAAACCTGGACAATGAACAAGCAGTTAGACAGTCAGACTCTGGCCCTGGAGATGGGGATCAGCATCAATTTCCACTTCTGCTGTTGAGCACTGTGGGGAGCAACAGTCTGCAATCCAATGATTGATGGGTAGTAATGGCTATCATCATTCTATGTCGATGTAGAAACTCTTTGATGACATCAATCCGTATTCTCCTGGAGCGGCCTCTTGCTTTCACTTCAGATCTTTTCATGTGTAGCGCCTGCATTGGTAGTTGTTCTGGCTGCATTTTTACCAAATGACTAAATCATTTGATCTTGTTTCTCAATGAATTTGCTGCATGGTGTTGTTCCTACAGTCTGTCTGACAATATCATTGCTAACTGTCTCAGATGCTTAAGTTGGCAACTTTGCTTGAGCATTTTATTTCACAGGTGTTAATTTTACATAGGAAGATGGGGATATACAGAAGAATAGAGTATTTAATGGAAACAAACAAATACCAGGATTTCTGGGAGATGGAATGGGATGTTGCTGAAAATAGGAAAGAGATACCCTTTTAAGTTAAAGAAGAGAGAATCCACTTTATTGTACCAGATTATCTTATGCAGCTAGTCGCCGACTGAGAGCTGTGCACGAACATGGGTCCAGCAGCCATCCCCAGGGATTTCAGCCAAATTCCACACATAAAGGCAACATGTCGTCTAAAATAAACCCATGATCTTCACACTGCGAAGTAAATGGCTTGACCACTTAGCCACAGAGACGTGACCAGTAAAGTATTTCAACCATGTTAAAATAAAAATACTACTAAACAATAAATAAACATACTAGAGGAGAAAAGAACTAGAGCAAGACAACAACAAAAGTGGTAGGATAATATCAACAGATGAATAACATTAGCCTGAAACACTATGGCAAGAGATCTATTGCAGCTAACCTTCATTTTGGAAAGTTATACTTGATTGACTGGAAACTCCCACTCTTACACACCATAATGTGAAAGCCTTTCCATGTTGACCTTGGACATAAAGGCGGCCGGAATTATGTTGATGTCATCGCCCACCGAGTGCCGGTAGGTCTAAGAAAACACGAATCAAGCCTTTGTGTGCCCCATGTGCCACTGGTGTTAATAGGGTCCTTTACTTGACATGTTGAATAAGACATCAAGAGAACATGAACCAAACAAATACCTGTTAACTCTTATGTGACTCAACTATGTAAATTTAGGACTGGGGTAGGTCTTCCGTTTCTACTTTAATACAGTGAGTAATGTGTAGTAGATAGATACTGAATACTGTAGTTAACACTGGTACGAGTTAAATAAGTTGTTACATGTAGCACCATATAATGACAAATATATATATATATATATATATGTATATATATATATATATATAGGTTAACATAAACTCTTTCTGTGCCAGACATTCATTTTTATACATAGAGTAAGTAGGTAACTAATTTATCTTGTATTAAAGGCTTTCATCATTGAACAAGAAATATTAACCCTTTAACAACCATGGGACACTCTTGTGCCCTAAGAAATTCTACCAAACATAATATGATTTGTGCGTGAATGTAGTTTCATAATACACTAGTGTCACTATATGGCTTAGAGGTTAGTGAAGGGGTTTAACAATTTCATAATCCTTGTGCACTAGGAGAATTAGAAAGTTTGTTCATACTCTAACTCGGTGTGTATAAAACAAATTGTCAATTAAACCATAACATTTGTGAAGCCCAGTATCAACAGTTTTCTAAATCATCAGTGTTATATGCTTTCCAATGCAATTTTTTGCCACTGAAAAGAATGGAAAATGAATGAGTCTGTTTGAGCATCCAACAAAATGTATTTTTCCTAAATACAGTACACCATAAATATAGTAACACATGATCATATTTCTTCTTCTTTGCATTCACCAGCTGTAAACTCTGACAGAACAATTTCAATAGTTAATTCACTTCAGTTCTTTGGTCTTGTTCTAGAACCTGTTTTGCATGCACATCCATTTTACAGATCTTACTTATTTGTATGCAGACTCTTGGTTCCTCGCCTCTCAGTCAGATGCATTTCATCTTCGAAGATTACACCCCTAATTAGTCAACATTTACAACAAGCTAGGGGGGGGCAGTGGGTCTATTCTTTTTGTTCTTTCAAAGCTCAAAATGGGGACCCAGAACCCACATGGGAAATGAACATCTTTGAATACAAACATAAATAAATAAAACATATACAAACACTGCATTTTACAGTACTTTGATCAAAATAGTGATATAGCATGAATAAGATGGAGGAGTTTAGGGAGATTATTGCTGGGAAGTTGAAAGGTGGGTCACCTTCCCAGATAATAGCAGGGATCCTTTCACTACTTGTAGAAGATTCAGGGTCACGAGATTCTGTTTATAGCCAGCATCCCAAAGTGCTCTGGTGCTGGTGACCATTTTTAACGTTTCTAAAATGTTCGATGTCATCACAGAATAAGTTATCAAGGCTGTTAACGAGGGCTCTGTCAGGGTGCTACCTCTCAGCAACTTCTCGCATTTCCGACCACATGGTCAAAGGATTTTAGATTTCAGCAGTGCTCATGTCTCTGCGGGTGCTGTCCCGGGAAGTAAAGGTGGCCGGCGTGATGCTGACCACATCACCCATCATGTGCCGATTGGTCTATAAAATACAGGTCTAGCCCAATATACCCTATACACCTAAAGGCATGGAAACGGGTCTTCTACTTTTTTTCTTAAACATGTCTCTGCAATTCTGGTATTACAAGTTATAAATATACTCAACTGGTACTTAGAGAAAATGAGGCAAAAGTTTGAAAAAAAATTAAGTCAATGTTTAAGTTTTCCAGTACTCACTGATGACTGAAAAGTCATGGTATGCCAATATATAATACTCATACACTAATAAATTAGATATGTTTACTAAAGATAATAAATGTAACCACTATTTATAGAAACTAGACAAGATAATTAAGCATTCAGATAATTGTGTATTTACTGATACATACATTTATTACATATTATAAACCTTTGACAGTGTGATGGCTATTTATAGCCTACTCTTTACAATTTTCAAACATAGAGATTTGTAACATTTACATCATGTACATTGGAGCTCTGATTATTTTTTGCATTTATCAGAGAACTGTGAGCTACTTGTCCCATTACCTCAGGATCACAAAGGAATTCCAATTCTAACTGATAAACAAAAATTCCAAACTTGATCCTTTCTCAACCGCCCGAAGGCCTGCAAGGAAGCTTCCTTGGCTATCTTATATCCCATAGGAAAAAAATATATTTACAATATTTTTTTCATTTTTGTGTGTGCTAGCAATCACCCCACTGAATTTAAATACAGTAGTGTCCAGGCTGAGGAACAGCTGGCTGAGTTGTTAGAACACTGGAGTCTCACATAAGAGAGCCTGCTTTGATCTGAGGTAAGGAACGGCTATTTTATCTACAGGAAGCAAAATAAAAATCCTACTGGCACAGTTCCTGACAACTGCTCTAGCCACACGGAATCGTCATGTCCTGCTCATGACCTTTGAACCTCAATCTCGTATACTGAGTAATTCATCATGGGCTATGTCAATAGAAGCCAGTAAGAGGCATCCTGCAGATGTAGGATTTCCATTACCTACATAAAAAGTACTCCGCGCTTCTCATGCATATTAGACTTTTACTGCAGTGGACCTCAGTGTCCACTAGCTTCATATGATATTTGCCACATAGATGCCTAGGGGCATTCGGTGTGGCAATATACAGATGGGTCTGTTTCATATATATATACATATATACACACACACATTTCATGGTTTCTGAACTAGGTACTACCAGTTTCAAGATCCCCTGATAGTTTTCTTCTTACACCTGAAAACATGACTGAATATATTTAAAGAAATCAGCAGTCATCCTGAGGTTGTTGAAATCTTAGTTTTGAGTTTGTCCTTAAAAAGAGCGGATGTCAGCCAGAATAAATTTCTCTGTTCTGCGTATGTCGGACACTCTTGCAGTCCAAAGATCACTACTTGTTCTCTTCGATCATTGTGGTAATTTGCATCATCCTTCTTTGCGACCTGGATGTTTAGAATCCCATTTGGTACTCTAAGTACTTCTTATAAGCCTCTTGGCCATATTATGTCTATACATATCATATATTTCCAGGTGTGTTGCAATGGGATAGAATCCATTTTTTAAATTTCTGACTAGGTCTATGGTGTGCAGCTCTGAGGTCTGCTAGTTGTGTGTTTTTGCTCTTCAGTGCAGTGACAAGTGACTTTGCACTTGTGAAAATAGCTGTGTGTTCCTCTTTACTATTTTTTGGGTGCCAAAAGTGTTTTTGCTGCAGTTCTCAAGGTCTCTCTAAAATTACTTCAGAATTTACCAGCGTGCAACCCACTGTGTTTACTTGTGAAAATGCACTTGTGAAAATAGCTGTGTGTTCCTCTTTACTATTTTTTGGGTGCCAAAAGTGTTTTTGCTGCAGTTCTCAAGGTCTCTCTAAAATTACTTCAGAATTTACCAGCGTGCAACCCACTGTGTTTACTTTAATCCCTTGACCCCCCAATTCAAGACAATTCCCCATAACTTCATTTTCTACTGAGCCTTTTGCTTTATGCATTCAATTATTCTGAGTTACAACTGTGTAACACTGCAGATCCCTTTGTTAGCTGGGTTTTAGTCCATTGGTCATAAAATACCTCAAACCTGTAAAGAAAACATTACCAGTCGAAATCTTTTCATCTTCTGCTTTCGCCCTCAAAAGGGTGGTTACTACACTGTGTTGTGGTTTACAGCTAGGCAGCAAAATCTGTGCCTTTTGGCCATACACATCAGCAAATCCTTTATAAGTCTTTTACGACATGCTCGTTAAGGGCAAGTGGGTATATTCTCTCCCCCTCCCCTAGTCAAAACAGGGTCTAGAAACCCACACGGGTACAACCTAGGTCTAATTCCAGTCAGTCTGTATGTGATATGCTGAATCAGGACCTTAAAAAAAAAACCATAACAAACCTTTCTGCAGATACAAAGCTCCAGAACCTGCCTTGCACATCGTGCTCATTTCTAAGCTTTAAGATGGTAGAGATTCCTCTAAAACAGGCTCCTTGTGGAATTAGAACTTCAGTAGAGGGAAGGGGCCCCTCTGCAACAGTGTCCCTGTGGAGCTAACACCTAGTACCAGGCTGGGAAAAGTCTTCCGACTGATCCAAACCACTTTCATGACTCGATGATCTAAATGCAAGAGTTCTTTTACGTTAACTTTTCAAAGGCTGCTGTGCTTTACAGCTAGGCTGGATATCTGCACCTTTTGACCCAGCATATTCCATTTAAACAAACTCTTAAGTCACTCTTTTTACCTCAAGCTTATTGGGAGAATGGGTCCGCTATTTTTTTGGGGGGGAAGTGGGGGTCCTTAAAATGGATTGGCGAAACCTACTACGAAACAGTCTTACATAAAACAGCCCAACAAAACCATCAACAAATAACATTCTAAACAATAAAACATTAAAAAAAACAAAAATACTAAAGATCACTTGGCCCAAAACAATCAATGAATAGGTCGGACACAAGTATTGTGTGAAGTGAATTATTAAAGCTTTGAACAATAATGCTTATGGTTTGTGCTTGTCAAGGATGAGAAATTATGAAATAATCATGATATTCAATGAAAATGTAAGTTTTTCAAAGCTTTGCCAACTGATAATATGAAATGCATATAGTTTACAGATATTTATACATGTAGATGTAGATAATGACTAAAATCCTTTTGATCTGAAACATATATACATAATTATCACTAGGTTTTCAACCAGACAGTCATTACATTATCAACACATGCAAACTTGCATCTATACCTGGATTCCTTGATCGGGTAGTAGTGAGTAAGTAACTTATAAAAGGCATGCAGATTTCTTAATAATAATCTTTCCCTTTCATCCTCTCTCTCTTTCTCCATCCTCTCTGTCTCTGTCTTTCTCCATTCTCTCTTTTTTTCATTTTCTCTCTCTCATTTTTTATAAATGATTCCAGTTTGTAACTTTAAAAAAAAAAAACATGCAGGTTTCCTAATATTTAGAGAAGAAGCTTTCACTTTCTCCTTCCTCCTCCTTCTGTCACTCTTCCTCTCTCTCTAAGATTTCACACATCGTTACAGTTTATACACTTGTTATTTCTGTTTCTAAAAAACTATATGGGTGTTGTACAGGCTTATAAAGGAGTATATCAAAATCATATCCACAGCATAAAACCACAGGTTCTGTAAAGTTATGGGCCATAAACACTGACCTCTGTCCATGAACACTGAGACATACTGACCTTCAATCCTTTAACTCATTCAGTACCTAGCAACTCACCATGAGTTTGTTGGTGTCAACTAACATAATATACTTCTACAAATTTCTTGTGACCCATCTATACTAAAAGCATAAGCTATAGTGTGAGCCCTTTACAGAACATTGTAGAACCAACCTCACAAATTTTGGGGCTGTTTGTTATTTTACTAGGCAAATTTATGTTCACCAGTTTGCCATTGCTTCCTCTAGATATTACTGCAAAATGGTCTGCTGCCAAATCACCAGCAGCTGGGATCAAACCTAGCACCTCGGCATTACGAAGTGCACTGCAACGCCAAAGCCACCGACTAATCTGCCCTAAATGTTACTTTAACTCCTTGTACATCAAGTAACACCTGCCCGGTACTGAAAAAGTTAAGCATTAAAATAAAACAATCTTGCCTGCTTGACGTAACAAATGGAGGTGTATGACAGTGTTCTTCACCCCTTTCTTTACATTCGCGGATCAGAAAAAACAAAGGAAATTGTTTCGCGGACAATGTGGCAGTTAAAATATAAAGACAGCGGTTTATTTATTCAACCTGATATCACAAAATTACAATTTTCAGCTCATGCAAAATCTACTGCTCCTTAGAGGCTAGAAAATGTTTGCAGAAATTTTGAAATCATGCAGCGGCTAGACCGTAGGCAGAAACTGTGGTCGGACCACTAGGACATTTCTATGGATCACCGGCTGCAGAACACTGGTGTCGACTACAAACAACAATCAGGCATTCTGCGACTTTTCTTTGGCTTTGTTGTCACGAACAATGTGGATCTTGGACGTCACCTTCATGAATGCTTGCATCCACTGGCGCTTGTCATGTTCATCGCTGACAACGAAAGTGTGAGACTGACCCTTTTCTGCGTCTTGAAAGGAGATTCTTATTAGGTTCTTAACTGCGGAAAAAGGAATTTCAAAAATCTGCATGTCAGAATGTTCTTTCCATTATAGAGTTAATAAGAAAGTAGTAGGCACAAGTTTAAGACCACCCAGTAAATACAATTATCTTACTGTGACAAACTATTACATCAACTACTGTTCTGAGCTACACTAAATGCTATCACTGCAGTCTACTGCATCATCCTTATATTATAAACTGTGAACACTCAAATTACTGCTGTTTTAGAGTCATTTGGTTGTTTTAAAGACAATATCTCTGGATTTTATGTACGCCCTAAAAAAATGTACACAAATAAATAGCAATTATTTACTAGGTGGTCTTAAACTTTTGGCCAACCACTCTGTGTGTGTGTGCGCACACACTCTAAAGATTTTCTTATCCGTGTCGGAAGACGGGGGGGGGGGGGGGGGGGGGTTGTCTTATCTAGAGTTTTCAAACCTTAATATCTTCAAAGCAGATTCCTCAAGACTGCACACACTAATTTCACCAGCCCCACCAATGTTGGAAGCACTTAAGGAAATGCTTTTTTGAGAATGGAGCACAAATAAGCAGCCACCTGCCATGTGTTTTCATGTGGCTGAAAATGGGTCCCTTCCAGCAGCAGTTTTAAAGCTTCCTAAACAGTAACAAATTGCAAGATGCCATATCAGAAAAGCATGGAGCCGACAAGCCAAAAGAATGTTGTTTTTGGCTCCAAAAATATGAACATAGGGAAATGAGTTGTCATAATGAAAGCTGTCAAATTTATGTTGCACTTGTAGCATGTTTCTTCTGGAACCACTCGCAGACAAGGATCTGTTGCCTCACCATGGATTACAACCCGAGCCTCTTGACCGAGTGACCATCAACACAACCACTCAGCAATCGCCTCCTCTCATTTATAACCTTCTGAAGTTATCAATAGCATGTATGAATACTAGGTTTGCATGGTGATCTCAACAAATACATGTACATTTCATTCTTCTGTTGTGTCATTAAACCTCACATAGAGCTCACAGTGTATTCTTTAATTCTGTCAAGTAATTTCAATATCATACATGGAACCCAGCCCATCATCTTTTGTCTCTCAACAAAGTTCATTTCAGGGTTTCTCTTGCATGCCCTACTTTCCTCAATTCATTTTGTTTCCAATTTCAATGCCTGTTTGGTGATTCTCTACTCGCTTCCTCTCATAATGTGCCCAATACAGTGTCCCTTACCCCCCCCCCCCCCCCCCCCCCCATTTTATAACTGTTGATACCAGTGGCTGTCACAATATTTCATTTCTTTCTTCATTCTTCTTGAATTCAGTCTATTCAATGTTCACCCGTTTCTTAAAGCATTTTAAAACGCACTTAGTGACGGTAAAAGTAAAGGACCCTTTCCCAAGCCTTCAGGCATACACCTCTATTTTATAGACCAATCGGCACATGGTGGGTGATGTGGTCAATATCATGCAGCCGTCTTTATTTCCCAGGTCTATCCCTGGTATCTGCTCAAGGATGAGTCGACCTGAGAGCCAAGGTCGTTTTGTTTTTGTTTTTTAAAGTTCGGCTCCGTCAGGATCCAAACCCACGACTTTCCAATCTGCAGATGAGCATCTATCCACTCACCATGGTGGCTTTAGAATTCACTTAACTTGTTTTTTTCAAATTGTCTTTAGTGGTTCTCAAACTGTCACTGGCTTGTGTTACATATAAATATATATATATAATACATACACACACACATGCAATTCACCTGTTTGTCCTCCTTGTCCAAAGGCACTGCGGAATGACCCCATCCTGACCTCCCCATCTGGTAAATCTTCCACAACTAATTCAGCAGCCGGGATTGGCTGCCTGTACACTTGGTACTTCTGTCGCCCATTTTGAGTGATTGGTCTCGAAACCACAGCCACTTTATCAAATAACAACACATACAGTTTCTGAAATTAGAAACAAAAATAAAGCAATTCATTTTGGGTTTTTTTTTAATATTGTTCGAGCACTTAAAGTCAATACAATTAAAGCATTCCTACAAAGTGATAAATAATAAAATGGTAATGCCAGCAGTTTACAATAGGCAACATTGCTAAAATAAGTCAACTTAGACAAATACTTCTGCCATTTTAGAAAGCAAGCAAGAAAAGGACCCTTTTCATGCCTTTGCCGCAGCAGGCATACAGAGCTAGATCTATATTTTTATTTTCCTGTGCGGGTTCCAGAGAACAAGGAATAGTGCCACTGTCCCCAACAAGTATGTTGTTAGAGGTGACTAATTTAGAAGTGTTTTCCTTTCAAGTTGGAGTGCACAAGAAACCAACAGTCTGCATACAAATAAGCCGGATCTGTAAAAGATTGAGTGCAAAACTCAAGTTCTGGATCAAGATCAGTGTCCAGGAGTGGATGAACAACCAGAACTTTCTGCCACAGCTTACAGCCCATGAACACTTAGAAGAAATCTAAAGAGACCAATCTGCACTTGATAGGCAATGTGGTCAACATCACATCATGTCAGCCACCTTTACTTCCCAGGGAATTATCTAGTACCTTTTTTAGGTTGGGTAGACATCTGAGCAAACTGCCATTTGAGAGGGTACAAAAAACGGATACTATAGGTTTAAAATAATTTATTTGCAATTTTTAAAATGTCAATGTGTTCCTCTGAACATCTGAATTTTATAAAATTGTACTTATTAATACCTAGTTTCCCAAAAGCTGGGGTATTTTTTTAATGCTATGGCAATCTGCAGTGAATGGTGATGGAAAGTAGTTTCCAGAAAATGAGGCAGACCTCCGCAAATGTGGATACAAGACACTGACACTACAAGACAGTGACACTACAAGACAGTGGCACTACAAGACACAAAAGATGATGACACTACAAGACACTGATGACACTGACACTACAAGACACTGATGACGCTGACACTACAAGACACTGACACTGAAGACACTGACACTACAAGACACTGACACTACAAGACACTGAAGACACTGACACTACAAGACACTGAAACTACAAGACACTGACACTACAAGACACTGACACTACAAGACACTGACACTACAAGACACTGACACTACAAGACACTGACACTACAAGACACTGACACTACAAGACACTGACACCGAAGACACTGACACTACAAGACACTGGCATTACAAGACACTGGCACTACAAGACACTGGCACTACAAGACGCTGACACTACAAGATGCTGACCCTACAAGACGCTGACATTACAAGACGCTGACACTACAAGACACTGACACTACAAGACGCTGACCCTGAAGACGCTGACCCTACAAGACGCTGACACTACAAGACACTGACACTACAAGACGCTGACACTGAAGACGCTGACACTACAAGACGCTGACACTACAAGACGCTGACACTACAAGACACTGACACTACAAGACACTGACACTACAAGACACTGAAACTACAAGACACTGAAACTACAAGACACTGACACTACAAGACACTGACACTGAAGACACTGACACTACAAGACACTGACACTACAAGACGCTGACACTACAAGACACTGACCCTACAAGACACTGACACTGAAACTACAAAACATTGACACTACAAGACACTGACACTACAAGACACTGACACTACAAGACGCTGACACTACAAGACACTGACACTACAAGACACTGACACTGAAACTACAAAACATTGACACTACAAGACACTGACACTACAAGACACTGCCACTGACACTACAAGACACTGACACTGAAGACACTGACACTACAAGACACTGACACAAGACACTGAAAACAGTGACACTATAAGAGACTGAAGATGCAATGGCTATGAAAACACATAGAGCCGATAACTGACTAGAGTCAGAGACAATTTCAAGTGTGCCGTGACAAGAACAATGTTCTATAATGGACCCGCTCACTGAAGGTGATTTAGAATAACAATATATGACCCGTCTTTGACAATGATGCCATAGCAATTCAGCTGAGCCATCTTTAAAACTGAGTCAGCTGCAGTCATTCTTTGATATTTTCTGTACTAAGCCTCTATGGTTCACTCAGCTAGACTATATGCAAACATAACAAAATATTTTCAACCATATTAACAACTATCTAACCATACGAAAAAAAAGTCCAATGACAAAACTATATTCAAACATAATAACAAAACTAGTCCAGCCATGATAAATGCCCTTATGCAAACATTTTAAAAGAACATATTCAGGTATACATGATAAAAACTAATATCCAAACATGATTTTAAAAAGTAAACCAAATATATGATAAGTTTTAAAAATTGTTTAACAACTATATTCAACTCTATTAAAAAGAAACTATTCAATAATAATTTTTTTTTCATGTATCAAACATAATAAAAACTATACCCAGCCATGGCAAAAATAATCCAACAATTACCATTCACAAATAAATAATTTGGCACCTTATATATATAATTTTAAGATCATACCAATCTCTATTATGATTTTTAGTGAGTGATATTATAAGACATACAGATTTAAATAAGTGCATTCCCAACCATAGTATTTTTTTCTGTATTTTTCACATTTCATAACTTTCCCACTGGTTATTTCTATTTGTCCTGGGACTCCATTCAGCTTTACTGGTACATCTTGTAACTTTAAATACTCACACTTCCTTTAGTGCTTTTCATACACCCATTACATACAAGAGCACTAGACTCGTCAATTTCTGGAACTTTCTGTTGAAGACAGTATAAAAAAAAGAAGATAACCATACAGAAAAACAGCAGGAAACTGGATGGGACAGCTAATGAGGTCAAGGCTCAGTCTAGATCATTATCCAGCTTCAAAGTTGAGTGCAAGATATGATCCTATAAGCTGTGGATTTCATTTCTTCTTCTTCTTCGCGTTCATCGGCTGTAATCACCGGCAGAAAGTTATGATTGTTGATCCACCTCTGGACTTTAGACTTGTTCCAGAACCTGAGTGTTATGTGCACATTTGTGTTACAGATCTGAATCATTTTAGGCAGACTGTTGGTTCTTTGCCTCTCAGGCATACGTACTCCGATCTCGAAGTAAGCCCCAAAATAGTCGTCTCTTACGACAAGCTTGTTGAGGCAGATTCTTGTTTTCCCCACAACCCACACAGGAAAGATTTCATGTGAAATGCTTTTTGTCGGCTACCTTACACAACTAGTAAGTATATGAGCTGTTGGATTTTGCCAGGATTTCTGTCTGTTTGGTCTAAAAATATAGGATCAGCACCATTTACCCAAAATGCTTAAGTGTGTGGGAAAAAGGTTCTTTGCCACCTGTCCGACAATTCACATGGGACAGTGACAGGCATTTGATGTGGTCTGCAATGGCAGATGAACAGATCAGTTATGTGATGACCCTTCTGCCTTGAAGTGACTGTGTTCTTCTTTTGATATAGGCTAACATTCAACAATGCAATTATTCACGTCACATTTCTGTCTTCTTCCTTTTAGCATATTTCCTAGATAGTTTCTGGTTGTTTATCAACTTCTTTACTATGGTTTTGTTCCAGAATATGAGTTTTTGTGCACACATCAGTTTTACACACCTGGCTTATTTGTATGCAGACTGTTGGTTCCTCACCTATTATTGCTAACACACACCAACTTCTAAGGAAATATCAGTTGTCTTTTACAACAAGCTTGTTAGGGGGCAGTTGGTCAATTCTGTTTTCCCCCAAAATGGGTACGAGATGGGTGATGTGGTCAGCATCATGCCAGCCACCTTTACTTCCCAGGACTGGACCTGGTACCCACTCGTGTGCTTCTGCATGTGTGTGTCTGTGGTTGAGTGTATGTGTCTGCGTGAGCATCAGCGTGTGTGTGTGTGTATGTGTCTGCGATTGTATGTGAGTTTGTGTGTCTCCGAGTGTATCTGTGTCTGCATGTGTTTGTGCATATGTGTCTGTTTGCCGGTTTATGTGTGTGTGTCGCATGTGTGTGTCTGCGTGTGTGATTGGGTAGGTGCGTGTATGTCTCTTTGTATGTGTGTGGAATGTGGGTGTCTGTAGGTATGTATGTGGGTGAATGGGGTGTGGTAATGTGTGTGTGAAGGTATGTGGGTGTGTTTAAGTGAGTGGGTGGGTGTGTGTGTGCATGCATTTTACCACCCATGCTTTTGTGCTCCCCCCCCCTCTTTTTTGATATTCATAATATGCATATTATCATATGAATATAACATGCTTATTGATACAATACAGATGCAGTGTGAAAGACGGGTGTTTGAAAGGGCCGAATGGAAGACGGGCTTGCGTGCCCAATTTGTGACCCTTTGAAAATAAAGTTTGTTCATCATTCACGGCTGAATAGACGCGGGAGACAAAGTCTTTTTTTTTTTTAAGTTCAGCTTTGCCAGGGAGCATACCCATGACCTTTTGATCCGCAGACGAGCGTCTATCAGGCATGCCATGACGACTCCCTCTTTGTTTCAAGTACTTTCAAAAACTCTGTGTTCAAAAAATTCTGTTAATGTGGCTCTATGAACTAGATGTCAGTAGGGGATTCTTGTAAGATGGCCAAACTATTTCATCTGCTTTTCTGGACTGTATTATGAAAGAGGAAGGTGTTTGAAAACAACTTCTCACAAACATCAGAAAGAGAGTCATCTTTTTAGTCATGAGATGAGCGAAAATGGAACATGCAGCAATCACTGGAAAGATTTGTGGAAAGAGAGACAGAGGAAGACAGCGCAAAAAGATTCTTGACAGTCTTTTGTCATGGCATGGAGAGGTGTCAACACACGAACTGAAACATGCAGTTACGGATCACAGATTGTGGAGAGGTATGATTGCCAAGGCACTTGATGATGATGAAGATTACTGGCTTCACTCAAGGAAATGGAGTAATATAGTAAAAGTAAGTAACGTTTAAGTTACTAAAGTAAAAAAGTAAAGTAAAGGACTCTTTTCCACACCTTTAGGCGAATAGAGCATACATGGCTAAACCTATATTTTATAGACCAATCGGCACAAGATGGGTGATGTGGTCAGCATCTCGCTGGCCGCCTTTACTTCTCGGGACTGCACCGGGTACCCACTCAAGGCTAGGTCGACCTGGGAGCCAAAGTCATTTTTGAAAAAAGTTCAGCTCCACCAGGGAGCGAACCCACGACCTTCCGATCCACAGGTGAGCTTGCAGCCGCACCGCCACCCCAGTCACATCATGCTCGACTTAAATTTGTAAGTACCAGCCGGCACTCGACAGGTGATGTGGTCAACTTCAAGTCAGCCACCTCTACTTCCAAGGACATAACATGATACGTAATTTAGGCAAAGTAACGTATAGTAGCATACATGGTAATTTGTAGGGAACTCTGCGAGCCTACCTGGTCATCAAATAAGTAGACAAGAGAAGATTTAGAAAATTCACACCGAGCAAGGCCTGTGCGTTCATCAGCATCATGAATAATTCTCTCTATTATTTTGATCTGCAAAAAAAAAAAAAAAATCATAAACGAACAGCTGTAAATTTACTGAATGGATTCTACCATGACACAGTAAATGGTCTAATCAGCACTCATTTCTGTTTTTTATCTTCACACCATTTTGCTTGTACATCTGTTTTACTGTCTTATTTGTGTGCTGCTCGTGCAGATGCACTCCGACTTCGAAGAAAGTTCCCAATTAGAGAACTCCTACGACATGCTTGTTGGGGAGGCAGTGGGTCTATTCTTGTTTTCGCTTAATAGGGCCCCGGAACCCACAGGGTGAGGTTTCTTATCTGTGGCAGACAGTCTAGGTTGGGAAACCTTCCCATGGTTTTCAAACAATAGTATAAAACTTGCACCACGAAAGAGACTAAGAATGGCAGCATGTAATATTCCCGAAGACATCAATAGATAGATGTATCAACTGCAGCAGCTCCCCCACCCCTTTCCCCTACTGGAATGGCTTAAATCATAACAACATGAGATTAAAGCCCATATATGTTATTTTCTAGAAAGACTAATGGAAGGAGAGACAGAGGAAGACATTAAGAGAAGCTTCTAGACAGTGTTTTATCAAAGCATGGACATTACCGAATTTGAAATGAAACGATACTGGCAGTTGCGATGTGATGATGACTAACTAATCATAAAGGCACCCGATGATGATGTCAGTATACAGTGACCAATAAATCTATGGTGAATGCTTGGTACAGAATGTGCTAAAAAAGCTAAGTATGATTTTAGTCAGTGTGCATGTGGCTCCTCAATTCAGACAGAGCACACAGCAGATCCTTACACACCCGCACCCCTGAACACTTTGAGGAAGTCTTTTTCTACTGCCTTCTATTTACCCAGGGAAGTATAGACCCTCAACCAACTCATGCCAAGTTGTTCCATCCTATGCCACCGCATGCAGCTCACCCCATGTCCTCCCCATCTCACTCTCTAGCTCCCTTCTTATTGAGTGTGTGTGTGTTTTTTTTTTTTTTTGGTGGGGGGCGGGGGGAGGGGGCCTGCCTTTATTTCTATGTCCCTGTGGGTTCCAGTGCAAAGACATTCTAGTTATATTGTTCCTAGGTTTCCTCAATGTATGTCCAATCCAACACCAGCGTCTTTTCTTCACATCTTGGTCCACTGGAACTTGTTTAGTTGATCTCCCAAAGCATTGACGAAGTAACTACTGAATGAAATGATGAAGAAGTAGTAGTAGTATGGAACAAGGCTCATCTTAAAACTGAGGACTAATTATATCAACTCACTGATTTCTGTAAATGGCCAGCATCTGTACTGTCACTTGAGGCCTGAGAAATGAGAAACAAAATAAAATAAAAGATTATCTGTCTGACTGATTAAACAAACCAAGACAGCATGGCTGTCTCTCCATTTTTTTAAAACAGACGATTCTTCTGTTTGTTCTTTTCAGTTTTGCTAGCCTCAATGTAAAAATGTCAAGGATGTTTCTCAACCTCTCTCTGCTTTTCAAGGTTATTGATAATGCTCAGACGCTAGACTATTTTTCCTTTTTCCTTTATTTTCCAGGTTAGCAGGGTTGACAAGACCACTATAAAAAAAAAAGAAACAGTCATCAAAATTATGGCAATTATGCATTTCTTCTCCTATCTTCTTCATACGGTTCATGCCCCATCGAGCATCTGTAGTCATGTCTATCAACAGCCTTCTGTCTCATGTACCCTGCAATTGATTCTGACACAGATGATCTCTGATGCCATAAAATGTCAAGCTGTCCAGCATCTTCTCTCTTGGTCTCCCACTGCATTTTTTCCCTCCAGCTTTCCCACTGTCATGATGTAGTCCAGTAGACTGTGTCCTTTTGATGTAAGCAAAAAGTTCCCTTCATGAGACAGTGTATTTCAAGGCATATTCACTAATATTGTTATCTGTCCAGTGTATTCTTATCATTTGTGTATAAAACCACATCTCTGCCGCTTCCAAATAATTTTTCACGCATCATCCGACTGTCCATGATGCACCTCTGCATAATCAGGATAGGACTGATGTGGCTACTGAGAAATCTAATTCACGTCTCTCTTTTTCCCATACATACAGGTAATAAGAGAGAGAGAGAAAAACAGAAAACGTTTTTGTGTTTTGCTTTAATAATTTTTTTAACATACAATCCGTAGTAATGCACCTGATGAGACAGCAAAATATGCCCAGAAATAAAGCTGTTTGTGCTACCGTATAAATTCACAATGGGAAAACAGATTTAGAAGATGCCCCCCCCCCCCCCCCCACTTCGATGAAGTAAAAGGTGGAAGAGAAGTAGAAGCCTAGGAAAACATTGTTTAGAAGACAGAAGAAAAAAAAAAGTAAGACAAAAGAAAAGGGAAACAAGAAAGCAGATACAAGAGAGACAGAGATGTGTTAAAAATTATTTGACGGGTAAAGTGACTTACATATTTAAGGATGCTCCTAACCAGAAGCGGATACTTCACAAATCGGCCTCTGGCACCATCTGTAACACAGACAACAGTTCAGAACACATAAGACCATTTCTACACTGCAATGTTAGCTTTCAATAGAGGATCTTAATTTATTACAAAATTATCTAAACTCCAAGAAATTATTCTGCAGCACTTGCCACAGATGAAACGCAGCAACAGAAACTAAGGTGTAACATGTACATCTTCTTCGCAGTCACTGGCTGTAAACTCTAGCAGACTGTTCTAGTGGTTCGTTCATTTTTAGACTTCAGTCTTGCTCAAGAATTTCAGTTTTCATCAAATTGATTTTACAGGTCTAGCTTATTTGTACGCAGACTGTTGGTTCCTCGTCTCTCAGGCACATGTACTGCGACTTCAAAGAAAATGCCCATAATTAGAGACCATATACACCATGCTTGTTAGAGAGGCAGTGAGTCTTTTTCCGCCCAAAATGGTGCCACAGAAACCCCACAAGGGGATAACATATACAATAAGTGTGAAATATCTAGCCAGATTTTCAGAATGTTTAGATTAAACTTGAACGACACCATTACATATTATGTGATGCCTGATACAAGCACAAGCAGACAACAGATTCACATATGGTGTGTGCATAGGACAGAAAGAGTTAATAACTGCAGTAATAACAAACACAAACTATTTTAGCAATCGCCATTAAAGAACTACTGAACTGTCACACATCACCCCCCCCCCCCCCCCCCCCCAATTATTATTTTTTTTTTAAACACGCATACAAGTACCTAACAACGACCAGAGGTCCAGTTTACGACTGAAAGGGGAGGCGAGACAGCGCTGCAGGTAATCGTCCACAGACGGCTCATTCCTTTTCTCATCAAATATCGACTTAGCTTTGATCTGGTTGGCACAATACTCCACGTACACTCTGAGACTACAAGCCTGAAAGCAAACCATTAAAAAATTAGTAATTTCAGTGATATGAAACTATATACAAATTACAACTGTTGAATGATGACAAGTACTTGGTCACATTTTACAAGATGTGTTGGCCAGCAAGGTGGAGTACCTGTTTAGCACCTCTATCAAAATAACATTCAACCACGGAGGCAGGTGGTGGACTGGGCTTAAGAGCAAAGAACAAATAGCTCATGGTCTCAAGTCGCCCAGGGGTAGACAGAAGGTCACATTATAGTGAAAACAGCAACAGTCACCCAACCATTATGGTCCCTGCCCAGAAGAAAATCAGTGGCAAGCTATCTTCTTCAAAGATATGCCATCAAAAGTCATGATTTCCCAACTTCAGTTAAATGGCACAAATAGGAACTCCATAGGAGTAGCCTTTTCAGACAGGAACAGTCATGTGCACCAGCTGACTCCAGACTTCCATCAAGCAGCTGAGTGCAAAAATATCAAATATTATAAATATAAGGAGACATTTTCTTCTTCTTCGCATTCACCGGCTGTAAGCTCCAGGCAGAAAGTTCTGGTTGTGTGTCTGCTCCTGGTCTAGTTTCAGAACTTGGGTTTGGCATGCAAATGTGTATATTTTGTCTCCCACATACATGTTAGTTTCATGTTCTGAATAACTAATTTGTAAAATGTGTCTGTAACATTTCTAATCTGTGTTCTTGTCTCACTGAAAACATGTTAGCAAGCCATCTGGGTATTCATCTCTTTGTCTTCCCCTTACTCTTTTCCCATCAAGCTTGCCGGTTTTGATTCCTCTGGAGCACATGAATTTAAGTACCTAGTGACACTATTCTTAAGGAGCACGCAGTAATACCATTTTAAACTATGTATTCTGTTTAATCACACATTTTCGACCGACATCATCATCATCTCCATCGCCTACCTTGCCAGCTGCTATGGGCGATCATTCCATTACACAACAGCATTTATCATCTCATATGCTAACACCTCTCCATGAAGAGGGGCTGTCAAGAATCTTCTCTCATCGCCTTCCTTTACCTCTCTTTCCATAAATCTTTTCGGTGTTTATGTGTTCTAGTTTTATTTTTTCATTATCTTAAAACAAAAGTCCCAAAAAATGACGGCTACCTCAATTTTATATTTTTGATAAGTTGTCTTCAGGCCCTTAGCTCTTCTAAAACACATTCGGGTTACTCTTGTCGGCTTTTGGCTGTCCAAGGAATTCTGAGCATTCTTCTGTAAAACCACTGCTCTGAGGTCTCAAGAAATTCCTTGGCTTGTTTATTAGTTGAACAATGTTTTTTTCTATACACCTAAGACTCATGGTTTTCCCTTTGCTTAGTATTTATCATATTTTTCAGGGTGGCTTTATTATATTTCTTCAGTGTGACTTCATTTGATTTCTTCAGGGTGGCTTTATTATATTTCTTCAGAGTGGCTTTATTATATTTCATCAGGGTCGCTTTATTATATTTCCTCAGGGTGTCTTTATTATATTTCATCAGGGTGGCTCTCTGTGGCAGTTGGCACCAGGGCTAAACCATCTTATCTTTTGCTCTGTGGTGAACAGTATGACTTGTTTCAGTTCTAGTCTCCGACTTTCTTCATTCCTAATTTTAAACCATGTAACAATTCATACATGCAAGCTGGTATATTAAAAAATAGGTAGACTGACTAGCCAAAGGAAAGTAAACTCAAAAAGTACAGTATTCCATACCCATTCATGTATTTGCTTTCCCACATTATGGGTTGTACCATCAGGTTTTCGCTGTCCTTGCAATCTTGCTGCTAAATCTGAAATCAAATTATAACACATGATCATCATATGTTAAAACTTCATTCTCCAGTAATTACTTAGGGAGGGCCCAAGGGATTTTAGCTTTGTTTGTACAATTTAAAAAAAATAATCATTGTAATAATAACAGTTGCATTCTACTTCCACATTCCCTGAGATTCTCAGAATAAAACACAGTGTATGCATTCTACTTCCACGTTCTCTGTAATTCTCAGAATAGAACACACAGTGTATGCATTCTACTTCCACGTTCCCAGAGATTCTCAGAATAAAACACAGTGTATGCATTCTACTTCCACATTCCCTGTAATTCTCAGAATAGAACACACAGTGTATGCATTCTACTTCCACGTTCCCAGAGATTCTCAGAATAAAACACAGTGTATGCATTCTACTTCCACATTCCCTGTAATTCTCAAAATAGAACACACAGTGTATGCATTCTTCTTTAATATTTCCTGAAATTCTCAGAATAAAACACAGTGTATGCATTCTTCTTCCATATTCCCTGCAATTCTCATAATAGAACACACAGTGTAGCAACACACCCTGAAATTCTCAGAATAGAACACACAGTGTATGCATTCTACTTCCATATTCCCTGAAATTCTCAGAATAGAACACATAGTGTATGCATTCTACTTCCATATTCCCTGAAATTCTCAGAATAGAACACACAGTGAATGCATTATACTTCCACATTCCCTGAGATTCTCAGAATAAAACACAGTGTATGCATTCTACTTCCACGTTCTCTGTAATTCTCAGAATAGAACACACAGTGTATGCATTCTACTTCCACGTTCCCAGAGATTCTCAGAATAAAACACAGTGTATGCATTCTACTTCCACATTCCCTGTAATTCTCAGAATAGAACACATAGTGTATGCATTCTTCCATATTCCCTGAAATTCTCAGAATAAAACACAGTGTATGCATTCTTCTTCCATATTCCCTGCAATTCTCAGAATAGAACACACAGTGTATGCATTCTACTTCCATATTCCCTGAAATTCTCAGAATAGAACACATAGTGTATGCATTCTACTTCCATATTCCCTGAAATTCTCAGAATAGAACACACAGTGAATGCATTCTACTTCCATATTCCCTGAAATTCTCATAATAGAACACACAGTGTATGCATTCTACTTCCATATTCCCTGAAATTCTCAGAATAGAACACACAGTGTATGCATTCTACTTCCACGTTCCCAGAGATTCTCAGAATAAAACACAGTGTATGCATTCTACTTCCACATTCCCTGTAATTCTCAGAATAGAACACACAGTGTATGCATTCTACTTCCACGTTCCCAGAGATTCTCAGAATAGAACACACAGTGTATGCATTCTACTTCCATATTCCCTGAAATTCTCAGAATAGAACACACAGTGTATGCATTCTACTTCCATATTCCCTGAAATTCTCAGAATAGAATACATAGTGTATGCATTCTTCTTTCATATTCCCTGAAATTCTCAGAATAGAACACACAGTGTATGCATTCTTCTTCCATATTCCCTGAAATTCTCAGAATAGAACACACAGTGAATGCATTCTACTTCCATATTCCCTGAAATTCTCAGAATAGAACACACAGTGTATGCATTCTACTTCCATATTCCCTGAAATTCTCAGAATAGAATACATAGTGTATGCATTCTTCTTTCATATTCCCTGAAATTTCAGAATAGAACACATAGTGTATGCATTCTTCTTACACATTTTCAGAGCAACCCACAGCGTACTCCGTGAGCACCAACAAGCATGGCGTAAAAAGCCAACTAATTAGATTATTTCCTTCAAAGACAGAGTGTGTCTGCCTGAGAGGCGGGAACCAACAGTCTGCAGATAAACAAGCGAGATCTGTAAAATAGATGTGCATGTAAAACACAAGTTCTGTTAGAAGACCATAGCCCAGAAGTGAACAAACAAGCTAGACTTTCCATTGGAGTTTACAGTCGGTGAATGCTAAGAAGAGAAAGAGGAATACCTAGTGTTTGTATTCAACATCTAATTTTCCATAGCAGCAGTTGTCTTTATCTAAGTGTTTCCTGTTGGCTGAGTGTAATACATTACATCAATAAAATACACACTATGATTTCTGACTGACAGCTTACCCTGGTGTACTGGGATGAGAGAGTCGATGTTCCCAAAGAGGGTATTCACATCGGCCTGTGACATCAGCCCCAGGGTTACAAAAGAGTCTCTGTATAGCTGCAGAGCACATTGATTAAGCCACATACAATCATAAGCATAAGTTTAATCTCTGAAATATATTCAAACAACTAAACACAGAACTAAAACTAGTACCACACTTTTAATCTCAGTTGTTATGATCTTGCTATCATTAAAGGCCCATGTTTGATGCTCGGGGTAAAATTAAGCTGACCCCCCAAAACAATTTGAAAAGAGGTGCTTGAGAAAGGCTGCGGACAAAACAGAAGAGATAGTGTGAGAAATTAAGAGAAAAATAATGAGTACTGGAAAAAATACATTGTTAAATTCAAGGAAAGAAAGAATGAAGTGATTCGGACACCTGGCGAGAATGAATCAAATGACGCTAGCAGCCAGAGCTCACAACACAACAAAGGAAACACTTGGGGGCAGAGGAAGACCTAGAAAAAAAATGGATTTAAAGAGTCACTGGCAGTTTAAGACTTCAAAATGGCACAACATAATATCCAACCGTGCACGCCCTATCTTAGCCCTCTATCTTCTGTTAAAGTGCAATGCATAGAGGCACAAGACACAGACTGGACAAAAGAAAAAAAAAATATTTTTATCAGAACTGCCTTGGTAAACAAAGACATCCTTTTGTTTGTCAAAAGTTGTGTAAGTTGCCCCAGCACCTAATTGTTTTTGATTTCTTTATCCATTCTTTCTTTTGATTCGAAAATTGACCCTAGATATTTAAATTCAAGTTTTTTAACTGTATTTCTTTTTACTAATATGGATTCTGATTTTAAATACAACGTCCAGTTCTTCTAACTATGATCCATGACTTATGACAAAGCTTACTCTGATCGAATGCAATAAGTGAATGTCCCAAAAGCTGGTGTTAACATCAACCTCCTACTTCATTTACTCAGGATTATATCAAACTGTTTTTGCACACTGCCTAATGTATCCTACGCTTATTATACTTTTTATGCCCAAGGACCTTAACGCCCCACATGAGTTATAACCCCTTGCCTGTCAGTCCTCTTGCTAGCCTGTATTCACTTCACTGTGTGTCTGCATGTGAGCATCTGCTTGTGTGTGTCTGTGGGTGTTTTGTCAGTGTGTGTGTGTCTGTGTGTGTTTGCGAGCGCGTGCACGCATAGTAAACTACCCATGCTTTGTATTTTTTTTTTAATTCATAATATGCATATTCTTATATGAATATAACATGTTTTATTGATAAAATACAATTGCTGTGTGAAAGATGGGCCTGTAAGAATGTAAGATGGGCCTACGTGCCCTTTTTGTGACCTTTTGAAAATAAAGTTTGCTCGTTCGTTCCTGTATCACACGTTCTTACTGTTCAGACATGGCATTGATGAGTTATGTTGTTAATCCTAGTTTGTGACTGTATCATTATCCAACTGTTTTATATACTGATGAAGACTCTCTAGCCACACCATTCATGTGTCTTTTGTGATTGTGATAATGCAAAGCTTACTTCTTGACTGGTTTGATATCTTTTCATGGTACTTTTCTAACAAAACATTTCTTATGACTAGATCTTCTTATTCTTCTTCACATTCACTAGCTGTAAACACTGGCAAAAAGTTCTGGTGATTAAACCATATCTGGACTTTAGGATCTGAGTGTTGAGTGCAAATCTGTTTTACATATCTGACTTATTTGTTTACAGACTGTTGGTTCCTTGCCTCTCCGGCAGATGCACTCCGACTTCGAAAGAACACCCCCCCCCTTCCCAGTTAGTGTACTCTCATGACCTGCTTGTTAGGGAAGCTGTGGGTCTATTTTTGTTTTCCCAACAATGGAGTCCCGGACCCCATGAGGATGTCATTTACTGATGAAGACACTCTAGGAAGACACTCTAGGAAACCATTCATGTATGTAACACCCCAATTATTAACTTGGATAAGCTTAAAAGAACCATTAATGTCTTATGACTAGACCTAAAGATAAGGTAAAAAAAAATCATGTAATTAAATTTGGTACACTTCATGATCTACACTAGCTAAACAATACAATCTAATGACAGCCTTTCTGGTCTGCAGCCTTGCATCCCCAAGGGCAGTCTTTAGTGAGTGTAAGGCTCAGTTTATGTAAGTGATGTTAAACATTTATTTGCATTATGAGATGTAAGTGGTTTGTCCATCTCATTAGAATGCAGCAATATCAAATACCATCACAGGCTCTACATCTCAGAAGATCAGCTACCAGAGCAAGAGGATGGCCAGAAAAAAAAAATGGATATACAACATTAAAATCATTCTACGCCTTCCTGGCACAACAATAGACAGTGGCAGCCAGCATTCACTAGATCGCAAATTATTCCTCACCACAAAGCTTAACTGTAGAAGTGGTTTATAATGATGATTCCATGAAGCCCAGTAAAACAGCACCATGTATCGGCTCTGCATTTTCAGCTCCTTGAATGTGGGAAATATTCCTGTTTTGCCCTTGCCTTCCCTTGAGTGCCAATCAGGATCCATAGTTGCCCTAGATGAGTATGCTAGAGGGCACCATCTTTGGGCTTGATGGCAAAGATAACCAACACAACAATGAGGCTGTGCAACATCCAGCAAAATTAACTGTCACGTTAACAATTGTGATGATGAAGAAGAAGCAGAAGAAAATGACAGCCAGACCTCAGCTATTTAACATCATGTTTATTATGATTAACTGTTTTCGAATGATAGTGGGACCTACCTTTGTGACGTTGATCAGATCCTCGGCTATATCTTTCTCTCCTTGGTATAATTCATAAATGGCCTGCAGATCACAAGGAATGCATACAAAGAAATATAAAAGAAAAGATAACAGATGATGATAACAAAGGCTGCGGAACAGGGAACAAACCCAAGTATCCAAAGATGAAATTCTGAAACACATCCATTAACCTCTAAGACTAAGCCGCACAGCTGAGGTATTCTTACTCCAGCTGCGATGACTTTCTATTGTCTTCTGCTGGCTCCAGTCAATGCACGCTTCCATTCACCGACTGACAACACACGAGAAAACATGGACGCTGGCGAACGATCCAAATTACACTTACAGTTTATTTGTTCACTCGCTGGTATTGAAGCCACTAAATGTTAATGAACAACATAGTCAATCATATCTAACCTCACTTATCTAACATGTCAACTTTACCTTACAATATCTATATTCCATCCAACAATTGAATGAACAACAACGATTTCATCCGGTCAAAACACATTCTCAGCTGGCTACGACTTCCGTTTCCCGCTACTGATGGCCAGGTAGGCGTTGGAAAAACACTGTGCAGACACGTCGGACTTAAACATTCTTTCTGGATCTAAAAAGACACCCCATCATACTTCATGTATTCATTTCCTAGGCCTAAACAAGACTGACTACCAGCCCTTTCTAAGGCATTAAACAGCCTTCTAATGCCCCTCTTCGTACTCCCAAATTCTCCGTGTTCCTAAATTTCTACGAATTCCTTTTGGCCAGCAGTTTTTGTGTGACCCGCATGAATAATTATACTTCACATGAAGTTTGACTGTCAGCATTTCTCTACACAAGAATAATTATACTTCACGTGAAGTTTGACTGTCACCCTTTTCTCTACAACTCACGTGCTGTCCCAGTTAGACTCAAAATATTCCACTCACATTAATTACTGACATCATTCTGTCTAAGCATAATTTATCTAGGAGAAAATGAGGCCCACTACACCAGCCAAGATCGTATACAGAATTAATTTACCTAATATAAATATGTGTGCAGTTCACTTTCCCTAACATAAGAGTTCCAGAGACTGCTAACTGCTGGTTTGGCCTTTCTTCCTACTCATAATTTTTCATATAAATTAATTTTTATTAGATTGTAACATTGTACATCTTTCCTTTCATTAATTCGATAATCTCAGCCATAGTTTATTTTCATTTAGCTTCCATCTTTTCATCAAAGTAACAGTATTACTTTTCATTATCCCCACATATTATTTTTAAAAATATGAGGTACACAAAAATTCACAGTCAACAATAACATGCTGCTAAACAATAAACTCTAAGACACCATCTGGAGTTAGAAATAATACCCCCCCCCCCCCCCCCCCCCACTGTAAAAGGCGACTAATTAGAAGTTCACACTGAAATCATATGTGTTGGACCAAAATGTGCAGATATCACAATCTAGCTGTAAACCACAATGTACAAACCACCCAACTAAAATCACATACAAAACAGAAGAAGCAGAAGAAATAATAAACAAAAAAACTCACTTCCTGTCGCTTGATGTCCGAGTGAGACATAACTGGAAGGACTGAGTCACCTTTTGCTCCAGAGATCCAATCGACCCAGGTGAGCTGAGACCTGCGTTTAGCAGGTGATGGCAAGGGAGGTCTGTAAGGGGACACATTCTGCGACTGCGGAGAGCTAGGGACTTTAAATGCTTCACTGTCCTGAAATAGGGAATTTGTAATAAATAAGTAAAGAACCCTTTTTGTTTTTGCATTGAGCACATTATGCTGAATTCAAATTTGTATAGATCATTCGGCACTCAGTGGTTTATCTGGTCAACATCATGCCTGTCACCTGCTACAGAGGTTCCCAATTATGAATAATGTGAAGTGTTAGGTCTTCTTTCTTCTTTTCCCTGCTCATGAAATGCTTCGCAGCGTCAGGAGAGGAAGAGATCTCTGGAAACTGGTCCTTCTGTTCGCTTCGTAAAAAGCACTTTTCAGTGTCTCTGATATTTCTGCGGTCCATTTTCTACATGATCTACCTCTGGCTCAATTGCCGCTGTATCTGAATAACACTGCTCTCTGTGGTGCCCTGCCTGATACCAATCTTGATACATGGTCAAACCATTTGATTTGCTGTCTACCTATAAAGTTCAGTACTGGTTCTGTGCCGACTCTACTACTGATATCATTTTTAAGTCGCTCTGTTCTCAGTAAACCTAGTATAGTACATAAACATTTCATTACTGTCGTGACTGTTTTCCTTCTATCTTCTTAAAACAGTGTCCATGTTTGTCATTGATAGAATAGTGTTGGTAAGAACATTCTTTTAAACAGTGTCCATATTCACATGCTTGAATTTCAGAAATGGTACCATTTGGCCTAAAACTTGATTGGCTTTATTGCATCTTTGTTGAATTCTTTATTAATTTTTCCGTCTTCTGATAAAATGCTCCCCAGATATGTAAAATCCTTCTGTGCAGATACATTTCATTCTACGCAAGTCAGAAACATTTAGTAATCAGTCTTTTTCTGAGTGTTCACTAACTATAAACTGTTGGGAAGTTCTGGTTGTTCATCCACTTCTGGACTTGAGGGTAGCTCCAGAACTTGATTTTTGTCTGCACACCCATTTGATAGATTTGGCTATTTTGTACCCTCACTGTTGGTGCTTGCCTTTCAGGTGCTCGCCTTTTAGGCAGACGCACTTCAATTTCAAAACCCGCATAGCGACAGTTTTTTTTTTAAGGAAGTTATCTATGCCCCCCCATTTACAATTAACACTGTGAACATCAAGATGATTGACCAGTAGACAGTGGCTTGGAGGTTATCTGAATGTCTATGGTAGTAGTAGGTTGTATTTATTTTTTTTTTTAAACATCCCTGTGGTTTTCAGAATGTGATAAGAGAGTCAGACTATGAAAGATATTGGGTCCTCACCACAGAAAATTCTCAGACAGCAGTGGGTAGTGTAACCAACCTTGACAGTAGTAGATATGACACACACACTTTTTTCATTTTATTTTACATAAGATAATACACCAAAACAAAAAGAAACATGAAATACATGAAGAAAAAAAAGGAGGTAATACACCAAAACAAAATGAAACATGAAACACATGAGAAAAAAGGAGGTAATACACAATAACAAAATGAAACATGAAAACAACAAGAGGTATTACATCAAAACAAAACATGAAAAAAGGTTATACACCATGAAAAAATGAAACATGAAAAAAAAACCAAGAGGTAATACATCCAAACAAAACACACACAAAAAGTCATACAGCAAAACAAAATTAAACATGAAATACATGACGAACAGAAGGTAACACATGAAAACAAACTGAAATGTATTACATGAAATAAACTTACATTCTTTTGTTTGTTTGAAGATACAAGGTTGATAAGTGATGCAGACACTCTCATCAAAGATCGCTTACGTTTTTTCTGACAAAAGAATATTGTAATTAAATATGTGTATAAATAAATTGAAGGTTTATGAAGAAACAACTGAAGTTGCGTGGCTTTATTTGCTTTCTTAAGCATTATATAAAAGTATGTTGGCAGGAATGCATGTTAAAAATGTGTTATCCTTACTTTCTTGCTTCAGCATAAACATGGCAGACCCAGAGAGAGGGGTTATGCTGCATGGACAATTGGTTTCTACAGTATTGCCTAAGCTCTGTGCGATGGACAAGAGGAACTTCATCCCTGGATGCTATGGGCTGTGAATACTATGCTTTCCAAGGGAATAATATAACATTTTTGTCTGGAATAATAGAAAAGTGCTAACACATTGTAAATGTCAATGAGATATGCATTATCTAGAAGTGAGTGATAGTAGGTAACATATAGAATCTATTATTCTGGGTGGATTACAACGCCTCATTGGGCGGAGGAGGTAAGACCCACTTGCCCACCACCTTTCTACCAATGAGAGCATGTCGTTAAAGACTACTAAGCAGAGGTCTTTCCTCTTAAGTGGAAGTGCATCTGCCTAACAGGTGAAGAACCAACAGTTTGCTCATAAATAAGCTAGATGTGTGAAATGGATGCACATGCAAAACTCAAGTTCAGAAATGGACTAACAGCCAGAACCATCCACAGAAGTTTACAGTCAGTAAATGGTAAGAAGAATGAATTAAGGACAGAATATACCCTTTTCCAAACACTTTTAATCTCCACCCAGAAACTGGAAAGTGATTTGCACCCTAACTGCGATGAGAGAAAATGACCAAGAAACTGACACTGTCCTTCCTTGTCACAGAGTGGGTGAGTACCAAGGGTTGAGAAAACGTCGCAGAAACTGAAATTGTCTTTCCTTGTCAAAGAGTGGGTGTGTGCCAAGGGTTGAGAAAACGTCGCAGAAACTGAAATTGTCTTTCCTTGTCAAAGAGTGGGTGTGTGCCAAGGGTTGGGGAATAAACTGTTGTGTCCTTGCCATGGCGTGGTTGAGTAACAGGGGCTAACTGGTCTGTAAAAATATGCATCACACAATATATGCCCAATCTGCCAAATAGGTGAAAAGTGGTGACTGCAAAATAAATTCACATAAGGAAGTAGTTAGCATTAATTCTTTGTCCTTTTGTGTCATATTTCAGACAAGACATGTAGTCTGTTTCTGCATCTGTTCTATACTGTGCAATCCAGTCCAGCATCTTTGGCCTCTTTCATCAATAGTCATTTTATGGCTTCTTTTGGATGTCCTTACTTTCTCAATCCTTTTTTTTTCTCCCCATTTTAGTTTCTGTTTGTTGATTCTCTGCTTGTTTATTTTCGGAATGTGTCCATCATTTATGTCTTAAAACTGTTGTTACCAGTAGCTGCCCAGACATTTGTATTATTCCTTCACCCCTCATGAATTCATCCCATTCTATGTTCAACATCTGCCTCTGGCATCTGTAGAACATAAATATGTATGTAGAGAACACTGCAAAAATAATATGATAAAATAAGTACAGAAAAGAGAGCTGCACTTGCTTGCAAATCTCATCCCAAAGAAAACTATTCAATAAGAAGAAAACTCCACAGGGGAGCATGTACAACAGGAGTCTACCAATTGTCAGAAGAAGTAATCTCTCGACAAATGTTTCAGCCCACGAGCTCCTAGACATTTTCAGAGAGTGGGCCCACCTGAGTTCATGAGGCTCAGGGTTGATTTGAGCAATATACTTTGATTTCTCATAGACCCAAAAGACAACAAACAAACAAAACGTCATTTTCCTGAAAACACAAAACCAATTAATGAGAATATTCCTAATCACTGTTTTTGCATGTGTGTACTGTGTTTCCACATCAAATAAGTCATAATCTAAACACAAGCCATAGGATGATTTGTCAGAACATAAGCCGCACCCAAAATATGCCATAGCTAAGATCGCCACCCAAACAGATTTTATTTGTTTGTTGAAACACACACCTGATATATTGAATTATATAAAGCAATGAATGTGTACATTAATAATAAAACTGATATTAATGCTTTAAAAGATAATACAAATGTAGATTTCTATACATTAAAAAATGAGACACCCTAAAAACAGGCCCAAATGCATATTTTTAGAGCAAGATTTCATATAAGACCTGATCTAATTTTTGTGTGTGTGTGAGGGGCTGGGAGAGACATAGACTGTCTGCTTACATTACGGAACACTTACCTTAAAGGACGTTTCAGCCACATCAAGACTGAGTACACTAACGTTGTCCTTGTCCTCATTCTCTTTATCTCTATGCCTTTTGCGCTGAAACAATACAATCAATCCGTCTGACATTCCAATTTTCATATCATACAGACCAGACCTGATAAGGAGAAATTACCAGGGACATAAGAAATAACTCTCCTTATCAGAAATGTATCTTAACCAGATAAGAGTTCAAGCAAAAACAATTTCAGGGGATACAAAAACCTCTTCACAACAAAGAATGTGCCACATCTGAGATCGCCTTATGCGGTCTGCACTGTATGAATAAATCATAAATGTCTGAGCAACTGCTAGTATTACTAGTCATAGGAGAAAGATGATGGTGATAAACAGAGCACATCTTGAGACAAAGCAAATACTAAATACTAAACAGCACTGAAATGAGAAACAAATGGATTGAAGAAGTGTGGGTATCTAAGGGAAACCTAACAACAAACCATGAGAGAGGCCAGTGGTGCCCTAGATTTCACACATATCGAAAAGATTACAGTAAACAATGAGTGGTGGAAAGGACTACAAGCATTATATCACGTTCAAACCTCACCATATACAATTTGCACATCTGGATAAAATGGTGATGCGGTGGTGTAGCAACAAGACGCTCACCTGTGGATCTTATGGTCGTGGGTTCAAATCTAAATGGTGTAACACTTTTTTTTTTCAAAAAATAATCTTGCCTCCTAGGCCTTAAATGGGTACCAGGTAAATTCCTGGAAAATAAAGGAGGCGGGCATGATGATGACCGCATCACCTACCAAGTGCTTATTGGTCTATGAAATATAAGTCTAGCCTTACATGCCTAATACGTATGAAGGCTTGGAAAAGGGTACTTTACTATTGCAGTTAAATAAAACTTGGCACAATGAAATAAACAAAACAAAAACAAGCAATAAGTCATGTTTATCCAAATATATTCATGGAGTTGCATCTTTTGTGGTCTAGATAGAACTCTTCAACCACCAAGAATGCCTGAGATCTATTCTTCATGAAAAATAGCGTCATCAAAACAAATACAATGTAAATATTTGCCAAAAAATAGACTGTTCATTATCCTTTTCTGTCATTATATGTCACACAGGGCTCGCAGTCTATTCCTCCTATGCAATCAATTCAATATCATGGATGGAATCCAGTCTAGCAGCTTTGGCCTCTCTCATCTACATTCATCTTAAGGTTTCTTTTGGGTGTCCTCACCTCCTTAATCCATTTATTTCCCATTTAAATGCCTGTTTAGTGATTCTCTGTGTGTTTCTTCAATGTAGCGCCATCTTTTCTGTCTTATAACTGTTGATACAAGTGGTTGCCCAGACATTTCTTTTATTTATTCATTCTTTTTGAATAGTGGGACCATCAGGTACTTATGTATACGATTAAGACATTTAATAGGAGATTTATATCTTTTTTTTTTATATGAAATAAGCACTTAATAGGTGACATGTTCAAAATCATACTAGCTGCCTTTACCTTCACAGAAATTTCCTGGTACAAATTTAAGAATGGGTGGATTATAAAACAAACAAAATCTGCACTTGTACAGCTTATTACCCAAGGCCTTAAGGCTAGCGATATGTGGTAGACAAAACTTACAATAATTCAGGAGCCAGCATAATATTTGTAAATATAGATTCAGCTAAACCCTGAATTAACTATGATACAACTAGATAATTCAGCTAACAGATGATTTTCTGTGCGCTGTCCCCAAATTCAGGTGTGGGCATGGACATACATGCATGAATAAATGTATGTATTATCTTATTTGTCAGCGTCTGTGGCTTAGGCGTTACGAACGCCTCTTGTAATGCTGGGGTGCCAGGTTCGATCCCAGCTGCGAGCTTTGCGCTAGTTTCGACAGTGGTATCGAGAAGCAGACCTTCCAGAAGGCAATGGCAAACTACTGAATGTAAACTTGTCTAGAAAAACCACAACAGCCAAAAAATGCTGGGGTTGGTTCTGCAACGTTCTGTAAAGGATACGCAACTATCTTATTTATTTGTAACTGAAAAATGCACACATAAAATAAAAACAATATTAATTACAGTTAGCAGTATTAAAAAAAATACAAACATAAAACATCTTTTAATTCTAGATTAGTAGCATAAAAATGAACTGAAAAATACACATATAAAATAGTTATTGATTATAAGTTGCATAGAAAATATAAACTGATAAATATATACATAAAATTTTTACATATATTTATATATGAGTTAGCAATATAACAAAATAAACTTAAACAAGAACTTACAAATCTAGGCAGTTCAAAAGCAGAGGTCAGCGACAAACGACGGCTCGACACGCCTGTCTGTGGTACCCTGCAGTTAACAAAAAAAGTAAACATTTTGTTAGCTGTTATCTTCAAGAACACAGTAAGAAAATATCTGCATGAAAAGCAGTAAAAATATTCAGGAAGCTGTACTGATGTACCAGCTTCGTTTAATTAGTATGCTCCGCCCTCGGCAGTTTTAATATAAACTATATAAGTACAAAACAACATACCTGTCCCATGTCATACTGTGTGACTGGATTTCACTTGTCTAGAAATTAACATTTTATTGTTGTTATATTGTACAGTTGTACATCTTATAATATATTTAGCTGACTTAGTCAGGGCATATACTAAAGCAATAAAGCAATTAAGAAATTCAGCGTGTTCCAGGTTAGTATCACATGATTTGATTCATATCACCCTGTGTTAATTATTATTCTTTTAATGTGTTTAATTTTGATTACATAATACAGTGGTAACTCAGTATATGCTCGCTTTGGTATATGTTCAACTTGGTATATGTCCTGTTTAGATAAAAAAAAAACCTTCTGGTTGGTATTTGAAATTTGTTTGGAATATGAGCTCATATGTATGAGTCAAAATTAGTCAAGACAACATGCGCTATTTTTATTTAACTCTCTCAAGACAAAGTAACGGATAGCTGTCAATGATCTGCAGAGAAATATCAACCCAACAAAGCTCAAGCAAACCATAATAGCATTTTCTAAAATGATCAGACAATGTCAAATTTCTGAAACATCGTGAGAAGGCAAAAACAACCAGGGCCAAAAAGTGACCAGATATACAATAACAAAGACAACAAAAATGCCAGAATCTCAGTTTTTTTTTAGGTTTTATTGGAAAATCACTCTCCTTCCAAACAATATCTCCTCCTCCTAAATTATGACTAAGTACCGTACTAGTCGGCGTGATGCTGACCACATCACCCATCTTGTGCCGTTGGTCTATACAAATATAGGTCTAGCCCTATATGCCTAAAGGCGTGGAAAGGGTCCTTTACTTTTACTTTACTTTTACTTACCGTACTAGTAGGCACCAGACTCTTATCAGGAAGGTAAAGACTGGTTTATTTTCATTTATTTCATCTTCTTCAACTTCTTTTGTATTTAAATATTTTAGTATTACTAAATAGGCAGTATTTATATACTTTATTTTATATAGCCTCATCATTGCATATTTCAATAACAATAGGACTTTTTTTCCCATGGGATTGAATGAATCATTCACCTTTGATTTCTTATGGGAAAATTTGTTTGGTACACACTGTTGGTTGGTGGTAGTTGTACCCCACCAGTACATCACACAAGTGATAAACACCCGGTGACACAAAGTGCCACCATGCTGATGTCCCAGCAACCCTTTTCAACCGTTAGCCCATATCTATGCCCCGGCTATATTCGGGGCCCCTGGCACCAGCCAGGGTGGAGCTATAAATAACAAAAAAGTGCATCCCACATGGGGACAACTTTTTACAAGTGTATAGCAACTTGTCAACACACACACTGTTTGGTAAACATCCAAGGATCAGAAATGGATTAAGTAGGTATACTGAGGTACCACTGTATTTGAATACTGCAATGAATAAAATGACAGTGTTGTCATTTCTGAGTCAGCTCATTTGTGTGTGTGACTGTGTGCGCTGTCTCTTGTTTCTCATTATGTAAGGCTAATAATATCTGCAAAGTCTTTTGTGTACTCATATACTGTTTTCTTCTTTAAGTTCACCAGCAGTAAACTAAACTTAGGCGGAAAGTTCTGGTTGTTCGTCTATTTCTTGGACTTTTGTTCCTGTTCTAGGAACCCTTTTCAACCGTTAGCCCATATCTATGCCCCGGCTATATTCGGGGCCCCTGGCACCAGCCAGGGTGGGGCTATAAATAACAAAAAAGTGCATCCCACATGGGGACAACTTTTTACAAGTGTATAGCAACTTGTCAACACACACACTGTTTGGTAAACATCCAAGGATCAGAAATGGATTAAGTAGGTATACTGAGGTACCACTGTATTTGAATACTGCAATGAATAAAATGACAGTGTTGTCATTTCTGAGTCAGCTCATTTGTGTGTGTGACTGTGTGCGCTGTCTCTTGTTTCTCATTATGTAAGGCTAATAATATCTGCAAAGTCTTTTGTGTACTCATATACTGTTTTCTTCTTCAAGTTCACCAGCAGTAAACTAAGGCGGAAAGTTCTGGTTGTTCGTCTATTTCTTGGACTTTTGTTCCTGTTCTAAAAACTGTGTTGTGTGCGCATCCATTTCACAGGTCTCACTCGTTTGCACACAGACTGTTAGTTCCTTGCCTCTCGGTAGATGTACTCAGACGTCCAAGGAAGCTCCCAATTAGTCTACTCCTAAGAACATGCTTTAGGGCAGGCAGTGGGATTATTCTTGTTTTTCCCACAACGGGACCCTGGAACCCATATGATGATCATAGCATATACTGTAACTTCTGTTACCAAAAATTATTCTTGTGAAGTAAAGCCAAAGCCTACATATAGTACTTTTACTTTATCCTATATTTATCATTATTGGAAAGCCAGGCTCTCCTCCGAACTTCGTAACCATATTACGGAGGCCAAACAAATACCCTAACAGGGCCTCAGTCGTGTGTAAAATGCGAACTTCCTCTGATGAACACATTTGCGGCAAAACTAGGATTACTGTCCGTTGACAATTTAGAGAAACACAACAATGCACACAATAATAGCGTCATGGGGGGGAGACAACCTGCTCCCCCGCAGGTAAGCAATAGTTTTCCTCTGATTAAACTCACCGCCAAGCGTATCCCCTATGCCGCCACATGAGGCATGGATGGGGGTGCTAAACTATATGGCTTGGACTCACTTCTTCCAATTTATCTGCTCGTGAGTCCCAGCCATCTAGTTTAGCCCCCCACCCCCCGCCCGTAAAGGCGGGGGGAGAGGGGATACTGTGTGGTATAGTCGCCAGAAAGAGGTCTGCAATTAACGGCAACTAACATATCGCTGAGACCCTGTTAGAGTATTTGTTTGCCCTTGATAATATTGGCCCGTTGTTCGGAGGCCCGGGAGGCAATCCTAGTTTTACCGCGATTTGTTCCTCGGCAGGCACTTCGCATTTTACACATCACTGAGGCTCTGTTTGGGTATCTGTTTGACCGCTATTATAATTATATGGTGACGGAAGTTCGGAGAGCCGAAAGTCATAAAGTTTACTTTATGACTTTCAAATCTTGTTTATTTGGAGTTTTGTAATAAACTAAAAGTCAAAAGCAAGAAAATGTGTTGTTTTGTCTACTTCTAACTTATATTTATATAAGCGCACTCACTAAGGCAACGGCAAGTGTTGTTTGGCCCCATTGGAATAGCATGCCTATGACTATGAGTAATTTTATTGTGTTAATTACTGCCTACCTCAGTGTGACAGAAAAAAAAAAGGAAACATGTAAACAGGGTACCAAACGCACTAGAGTAGAGGGCGAAACGATATGTAATAAAATACACTTTTTTTTGTTTTAAATGAGTCATTCAATTTTGAATTTATTATTAATACATTTTTTCAGAGATCGTTCGGGTTTAAGTTCGCCGAAGCCGAAACGATGATAAATGATAGATACAAATTTTACAACACTACAAAATATACAAGAAAAAAGAATACTTACTTAAACATATCTTTATCGTTCATCTTTACGAATATGTACAATGCACGTAGTTAAAAGGACACTAAAAATGTACAGGTAGGCATATCACTACAATGAATATAACCAAACTCAAAGATGCTGAGGTGAGAATTTTAATCCAAATTGTAAGAACAATACTGAATATGGCGGCTTTGTGAATTTAACCAATGAGAAACAAGATGAAGGGTCTCAATAAATAGGAGTTACTTTCCCCTGGTAGGTGTCGCATTAGTCGATTTCTTTTTGAGTATTTAATTCTTTAATTAACTTGTCCCTTTTCTTCACGTTTTTTTGGTATAGGTGTTTCGTCCTTTTTAGGACGAATTTTTTTGTCATTTAAAGCCCCATACTGGCTTTTGCCAGGGGCTGCAATACAGACAGGCCATAAATATGGCCAATTGTCTGAACGCGGTTTCTGGGCCTCTCCACGGCGATCCTCATCCACATGGTGGCACTTTGTGACATCGGGTGTTTATCGCTTGTGTGATGTCCTGGTGGGGTTAGAAAGTCAGTCTTTACGTTTATGTCATGAGAATTGATAATCATGCCTGCGTCTAACATCCTTTTTCGTGTTCTGTCAGTCGTATCTGGTACAGTCACCCCCACCCCTTCCCTTTTGTTCTCTTTAAAAAAAATAACGTCTCAAGGGTGGGAATCAAAACAGGTACAATTCACAAAAACCACTTCAACCGTATAGTCGAACATCACAGTTGTACTGAGTCATCTGTGGCTACGAGCTTAGTAATGCCGGGTTTGACCACAGCTGCGGACGGTTTGTCTTGCGTTGGTTTCGACAGTAGTACCCGAGAGCTGACCCATAGAAAGCAATGACGAACTATTGAACTAAAATGTACCTATAAAAGCCACAACAGTCAACAGGTGCTGGTTCTGCAACGTCCTGTAAAAGATACGCAACTAACTTTTTAACTGTGACATCGCAAAACAATTACAAAATAACTTCTATTACCTCTGACAATGTAATTAAAAAAATGTAGTTGCCCTTTTCTGATGCCAGCAATCATTTCTATTCGTGAGTCTTTTCAATACTATTTCATTAGGCTTGTGAAGCTGGTTGTTGTGAGGGCTCTTTGTGAGCGACTGAATAGTGCGGAGGCACATATAGATCATTACCGTCTGGGGAAAATGGTGTTGCGAGGAGTTACAGGGGGATCTGGCCGACACTCAGCACTCAAGGGAAAGTTGAGACGGATATACAATCAGTTACGGATGCCATCGAATTGGAACTCTTCGCATGCTGTTGAAGAGAGCTGTAGTGTCGATTCTAAATTCAACATTGTTCCTGTTGCTTTCGCGATAAGCCCTTGGTCTCTAGCCTTGATCTGTGGATCTCTTAGCTTGTATGCCTTAATCCTCGTCCCTTCTCAGATACATCGTTTCGTACATTGTTGTCGGTGTTGCCCATTCCCAGCAGTTCCTTCAGTTCTCTTTATTGTGACCTGGTCGTCTCATTACTCTGGCGTCTCTCACAAACTTACATAAACCTTTCCTTACTATGGCATAGTCGATGCGGACTTTCTCATTCTTTGAAGGTTCACATCTTGTGTATGTATTATACATTTGTGAGGGAATTTTGTGTTTGCAATGACAAGGTTCTGTTCCCTGCAGAATCGGAGAAGTCGCTAGAGTGATAATTTCCTACTCTCGCGTTTAGATCGAAGAGGATATTTTCATCGTGACAGTCATCTATAGTCCTTTGGAGCAGTCAGCGAATTCTTCTTTGACTTCTAGTCGCTCGTCTTCATTTGGTCGGTACACAATGACAATTATATCCTCTTTTTTTTCAGATCTAGCACCATAGTTCGCTCCTAGATTAATTACCATCACCTGATCTTAAAACAAGATTCATGGCTACAATACAGCCAACACTCCCTTTGGCTCTCTCCGTCGAAGGGACACTACTGTAGAGCTGCATATTTCCAAGCTGATCTGTGATTCCCATGCCCCTTTTTCTTGGTTTCAGCTTGAGCCACGATTCCTAATTTTTCTTTTCTCATCTGCAGAGAGCTGAGAAAAATAGAAATTGTCAGGAGAAAATATTTTGAGGAGAAACTATTGGCAGGAGAATCTATTGTCAGGAGAAATTATTTTCAGGTGAAATAATTTTCAGGAGAAACTATTGTGGGGAGAAACTATTATGAGGAGAAAATAATGTGAGGAGAAATTATTGCCAGGAGAAACTATTGTCAGCAGAAATTATTTTCAGGAGAAACTATTGTGAGGAGAAACTATTGTGAGGAGAAATTATTGTGAAGAGAGACTATTGTGAGGAGAAACTGTTGTGAGGAGAAATTATTGTCAGGAGACATTTTTTTTTCAAAAGAAACTTATGTTAGGAGAAACTAACAAACGCAGGGTAAATTATTTGGTACAGAAAGAGTTAACCATATAACACAATTAAATTGGGACACACTAAGATCCAATGTGGGTGGATATTTTTTGCTATGTAAGTCTGTGAAGAGCAACCTAACTCTAAAGTAAATATTGAGAGGATCGACTTCACCGGGGCTCAGTCTCTCTCCGCAGAATGGCCAGTCGCCTGCCGAGAGCATCGCACACAGCAAGACCACCATAGCTCTGGTGATGATCCTCAGGAAGCTCCGTAAAAACTGCACCCGTGAACCGAACGAGTAGCCGTGAAAAAACCCCACGACTGACTGACTTTCTACCCCACTAGGACATCACACAAGCGATAAACACCCGATGAAACAAAGTGCCACCATGCGGATGAGGATCGCCGTGGAGAGGTCCCAGAAACCGCGTTCAGACAATTGGCCATATTTATGGCCTGCGTTTATTGCGGCCCCTGGCAAAAGCCAGGGTGGGGCTTCAAATAACAAAAAATTTCGTCCTAAAAAGGACGAAAATGGATAAGATTTTAATGGGCGAGGCAAACAGTTTGCTTGACTGCTCCACCGAAGAGATCGAATGAAGGGTTTGAATGGTAAATGTACATACAGTGCTTGAGAACTGTGTTGAACTGTGTTTTATTATTGCTTTTATTATATTATGTTCTTTTGTCCCCCTCCCCTCTCTCTCTCTCTCTCTCTCTCTCTCTCTCATTTCCTCTCCACCCGTCTCACTCAAAGAAAGTGCAATAATTCAATTAAGGGACTCGATCACATTGTTTTTTAAAAACATGATTGATTGTGTCCCTTTGTGGCAGTCTTGAAGTGTGTGAATGAACATTAATCTGCAGCAAATGGTTTACCAGTGAACAACAGCAAAAACAAATCTAATGTGTAAATTATTTGGAAATGAATCCGTGGACTCGTAGAAAATGTTCAAAGTGAAAAGGCAACAATAAAATGTATAATTCATTTATATCACATGTAATTATTGAATGGTTTTAAATGAATTCTGTCCGTATTTCATAGTTGTGGATTTCAAGACATACGATAGACATGGCCAAAAAGACCCTTTTTTGGGCCTGGTTAGCCATATTCTTAGTACACTTGTATTCATGACTAGGCGCACACGCCGTTTTGAGGTGACAGGTTCAATTCCTGGCACGGTAACTATAGCTTTCGATTTTTATGTTGTCTAGTGTGTTCTTCTATCTTTCTACTTCTTTCTATGAGTGCCGATCAATACACTTTCTGATACTTGATTAATTCGTAATAATTGACATCATGAGGACCAATAAACTGCAGTGAGTTACGTTCCTCTTCTTGTCTCGTCTTACTGATAGCAGGCTGTAGCCCAGTGTAGTGGTTTTCTGTATTTGTCTTAAGCTTCCCGTGTGGCTTGGGTAATAATTTTGTTCGTCTTTTTGCAGGTTTGGGCGACACCATTTATCCATATCGTTTGTGGTTTTCCTTGCATCAAGTTTACGGTGCGTCCCAATGTCGGACGCAGTTTCTTTTTAAACCCCACCCTGGCTGTTGCCTGGCGCCCTAATAGAACCCAACCTATGTGTTGAACGGAGTTTCTGGGACCTGTCCATGGGTGATCCTCATCCCAAAGGTAGCACACTGTGTCATCGGTTGTTTATCGCTTGGTGTGATGTCCTGGTGGGTTAGTGTCACTCACACCTTGCATCACAGCCATGTCCTCGACACGTGTCCTCCGTTAGTGCTAACGTCAGTCAGTTAGATGCTTTCTCCATATTGACTGCTGGCTACAATAAATCTCCAGTATGCTCTGTCCTTCGTCAAGAATGTACACTCTCTGGGACTGCTGTACCAATCATCGTGCAGTTTTACCCCTCCCCCACCCACCCCCTCACGCACGTACACACCTCCCCCCTCCCCCCCCCCCCCCCCCCCATCTCTATCACTATCTGCCTCTTTGCTGCGTATAAGACTTTTAGAGCAGAACATCTGGAAGAAAGAGAAAGGAAGATCAAGAAAGAAATGAACAAATCCATTACCCAAACCACCCGAGAAGAGCAACACAGATTTTTTTTTTTAAACCACGACAATGGGCTACAACTTGGTATCAGTGATTCGACGAAAGAAGAAGAAATCTGTCTCTTTTTCTTGTGTCTTCATCACCCCACCTGATCCATAAAGTGTGGTTTTTAAGAGTCTTATGTCTATGAATATGTAGTGAAATACTTCACTGGGTTTTTAAAATATTTTTTTATTTCCTTCAGCAACTTTGTTTTTATTCCTAGCCTCCCCTAAACCTCCATGAAATACAACACATCCTTCTGCATGTCTTAAACAAGTACCCGGGAATTCCCTCCAAACTGTACTTCCTTACCTTTTCCACCTACCTTGTACCGAATCCCTTTTTACCATCATCTTACCCCGGCAGCTCCAGAGCAGCCACTTTTTGCCTCTCGCATATTCCGAGCCTCTAAGGCACATTGTCTTTGGTGAGGTTAGACATGGGTGACAGTAATGGCAGGATGTGTCAGACGGAATTAGAGCTGCGTGAAACGGGAACTACCCCAAAGCAATAAATAAATGTAAGTGAACACAAGAAAAGGGGCACGGGCATTCCGGGCCGGGTTTATGGCGCAGTAGAGAGTCCATGCCGT